CTGAGTGCCAGGTCCTCTTAGCCTGGTTGGGGGCTTGACCCCGGGAGAGCAGAAGATGGCTCTGAGTAACATCTGTCCCAGGTGTTTGCCGGGAGATGCTGAGTATCATGCATGCTGGATTCTTAAGGAGCCGAGGGTCTTCTGAGGGTTGATTTGAAAGGCAAGAAATTGTTTGCATGTGAAAAATGTTTTTCTAAAGCAAAATAGGATTTTTTTCCCTTTTTCTTCAGTTTTTTACTTATTCTGTTTACTTCCAATGTTGTGGAAAACCTATATAAATATTATGTAAGGGTGAGCCTCAGGTTGTTGCTCTTTGCTGTGTTTGGACTGGTTAAAATGCAAACAGGGTGAAGCCCAGTTAGCCTCAGCCATTTCTGAATGTCACACTTGGCTGTTATCTGGTAGGACTCCAAACTTCATTGTACCTTCCTTTAGCTGGTGGAGTTCTTAAATGACAAAGTACCTATCAAGCCATTTCTGTATAGCTCTGTATGGGGCCAGCCTGTGCCAGGACATGCATTCCAGGTATTTGTCCTTACCAGAGCCCACAGTGTCTGCACCCCAGGAGGTCGACCTCCCATGGTGCTGATGGCATCCTTGATAGTTTAACCAAGTTTCCTGTCGCCCCTCCTCCACCAGTGAAATCACAACGGCCAGTGCTCAATCTCCCCAGGTGCGATAAGCTCCTTTTTCTTGTACATTTCCTACCTGCATCCTCTCCTCCCCATGGTTGCCCTGGCCCTTTCCCAAGCCCTGGGAAATGATTCTCTGTGCGTGTTGTCCATGGCTTACAAATCCTCAGCAGTCTCAGGACAGCCCAGCCCAGTCCAGGATGTCACTGTGGGCACTACTGTGAAGAAGGTGTCTGTCCTCACCCTCCCCCCCCAACTCCCCAGGGAGAAGCAGGCTCAGGTTCCTGAGATCAGAGGTGAACTAGAGCAGTCACCTGTGAGTCAGTGTCTTCCCTGGAAACTACAGAGCATCCTAGCCAGTGCAAAAAACACAAAATCACTAGCACACTCATTATAGAGACAGCTCAGTAGTGAAAAGTTCTAAGTGGTGCGTATCATAAAATTATGACAATATTTAATAGCGTTTATAAGGATTCTAAAAATCCATCTGTAATTCCATGACCCAGCAATGCTGTTGACTTTGTGAGAAAGCATGACTACACACAGACTTCCAAGGTTTGTGTAGCGCAGAAAGACCTAGAAACGAAGTGAAATTCCCTTGCACAGCTCTCCTTGACTTTCTGTTCCTGGAAACGCCACCAACAATGATTTTCCATTAATCTTGCAAGAAAGATGCCTTAGGAGAGAGGCCCAGTGATTAGGATCAGGGTCGCACTGTGAGCTCCGTGACATGTACTTCTGTAAAACTTCAGTCCCTCTTGGAAACCCCACCACGTAAACACCTAATTGACAGACTCTGAACTTTAATTTTCTTCAAATCTGTGCATCATATTTCTTACCTGAGCGACCTTGTGGCCCTCAGTCTCTCTGCATCTCCATTTCCTCATCCGTGAGGAGGAGCGCAGATGACACCACACAGGACCGCGGTAAGTGACGGTGTCAGCTGTAGTTCAGGAACTCACACACATGTTTCATTACATTTACTATCAGGACATGATTACTTAATATTTATTGGTTATATCCTTCCCCTTTATGTACATGCAATTCAAAAGCTTTACCCTGAAATCATAGACTTGAAAATTTTCCGGTATTATTTTGTCTATAATTTTGTTATTACGAGATGCTACAAAGCACACTTACACATACTCACCAATTTATTTCTTCTTTTAAATTGACATATCAAATTGTACATGTTTAGTGAGTACGTGACATTTTGGCACAAGTGTACCTCGTGAGATATTCAACCGGAGTACACACACCTGTCTGCTTAAACACATCATTTTTATGGTGAAATTGTTGCAAGTCCTTTCTTGTGGCTTTCTGCGGTGTGCTGTCATTATCTCTCGCCATCCTGCTGTGCAGAGGACACTGGAAATCATATGTGCTATCTAATTGTAACCTGGTACTGTTGATCAACCCTATCCCATCCCTCCCTCCCAGCCAGCCTTGCTGACCACCGTTCTACTGTGACTTGTTTATATTTGCCGTGGGCATGAGATCAGGTGTGCATGTCTTTTTGTGAATGGTTTGTTCTACCTAATATAAGGACTTCCTACTTCATTCATGTTTTCCCAAGTGACAGTATTTCAATTTTTGTGGCCAAGTAATATTCCCTTGTATGTCCATGCCAGGCGTGCTTTATCCACACATCAGTTGATGGATATGTGCTGTTTCCATTACCGGCTGGAGTGAGTGATGCTGCAGTGAGCACAGAGTGCTTCTTTGACACACTGATTTCATTTCTTTTGGACAAACGTTCAGGAGAGAGGTTCCTGGATCAGGGGGTCATTCATGTTTAATGGTTTAGGAATCCCAGCACTGTTCTCCATGTGGCTGTCCCGATTTACATTCCCGCCAGCGTTGTGCCTGGCTTTCCTTTCCTGGGAAATGATGTTTACTTACCTCTGTTGCCCATTTTCAGCTGGATTATTCTACTTCTTTGTTACTGAATTGAGTTATTCATATATTCTGGATCTTGATCCCTTGTCAGCGGAGTAGCTTGCAAGTATTTTCTCCCATTGCATAAGTAATATCTTCCCTCTGTGGTTTCCTCCGTTGAGCTGAAGCTTTTAAATTTGACAGAATCACGAGTGTGTATTTTTAGAATACCTTTGGTGCTTGTGTAGTGGGAGCCTTATCCAAACGTCCTTGTCCATTCCAGGATTTTGAAGTCTGTCACTTATATTTTCTTCTACAAGGTTCATAGTATTGTCTCTTACCACATTTACATCTCCAGTTTATTCCAAGTAGATTTTGTACATGGCAAGAGACAGGAATCTAGTTTCATTCTTCTACATTCAATACCCATATTTTCTCAGCGCCATGAATTGGTGAGACTGTCCTTTCTTCAGCACGCATTCATAGGATCTTTACTAAAGGTCTTGTGACTGCAGATATGTTGGATTTCCTTATAGGCAGCCTGTTCTGCTCCACAGATCTACAAGTCTGCTTTTATGCCAGTACCATGTTGTATTAATTACAACAGATTTGGAGTATGTTTTAATGAATACATAAAATTATATATTTTAGTGAGGTATCATGTGGTGTTTCAATACATGACTTTGTAATGTTTACATTGGGTTAAGTGTATCTAGCTCCTTGATACTTGAGGCAAATAAGTTGCCTTCTTTAGTTTTTCAGAGCTTTTGGGGGGGATTCAGTAAAAATTTGGGGATTTTTTCTGATCTGTGAAGGATGCCATTGGTATTTTGTTAGGGATGGTGTTGGATATGTAGATGGGCTTTGGGTAGAAGGGACATGGTGACCATATTGATTCTTCCAGCCCTTGAACATGGAATGTCTTCGTTTCTTTTGATGTCTTCCTCAATTTCTCTCATCAGTGTTTTATAATTTTATTGCAGGTATATTTTGTCTCACTGACTTAAAGTTATCCCAACACGTTTTCTATAGATACTGTAAATGGGAATTGCCTTCTTGATTTCTATTTCAGATAATTTGGGATTAGCACATAGCAGTGCTACTGATTTTTGTATGTTGATTTTGTGTCTTGGAGCTTAATTCATTTTTTACTTTTAATATTTCGAGTCTCTGGTGTTTTCTGTCTATACATATTGTCATGTCATTTTCTCACAGTGATGATGTGCAAGTTTCACATCCTGTAGTGTCCTGATTGCTCTGACTAGGACTTCTAGAACCATGTTTAATAAAGGTGCTGAACACGTGCTTTGTTTTGGGTCCTGGAGAAAAAGTTTCTGATGTTCCCCACTCAGCATGATGCTGGGCGTGCACTTGTTGCCTATGACATTTATTTCATAGAGGTACATTCCTTATACAGCAAAGTTTAGTGTTTCTACCACGAAAGGATGTTGAGTTTTGTTGAATGATTTTTCTGCATCTGGAGAGATGATCATATGATTTTTGATCTTCATTCTGTAGGGGTGATGTACCATATTTCTTGATTTGTGTATGTTGGACTATCCTTGCACCTCTGAGATGAATCTTACTGATTGACCATGGTGAATGATCTTTTCTAGTGTATGATATTTTTCAATATAAAAATGCTTATAATAAAGATTAAACCCTCAACTTGGGTTGTACATTTCCAATGTTGAAGGATGTATTGGGTACCTAAGGTGCTGTCCTTCTGAGCTGATATTCAGTTTCCATATTCACCTGTTTGTCTTTATTCTCACTATGGTTAAACTGGAAAATATTTGTCAGTCAGAAAGTAAAAAAAAAAAAAAAAAAAAATGTAGTCTCTTGATTGTGTTTCTTTGTTAGTCTCTAATGCCCAAGAGATTTTATAAAACCATTTCTTTCCTATTTGCTTTAATATCTTGCTTAGAAAGACCTTCCTGACCCCTAAATAAATTCTCTTCTGCTTTTTCCTGGACTAATTTAAACTGTTCTTTTTTAGAATGTTCACATGTTATTCATGTTTTAAAATTCACTTGAACAGTTTTGCAAAGTGGCCTCTTAGGAATCTGTGTTGGTCTATCTGGAAACAGAAATATTCGATATCTCGATACTTAATATGTCTGGATATTCATATCGGAGCCTGTGCATGTCTTTCATGCAACCTCTATTGGTTTAGAATTGAAGTCACCGACTTTGGTGTGTTGCAGTCCCTCTCTCTGTCCCTGGATTCATGAACGTGCCATCTTCCTGCTCCACCTCCCTGGAAGGCTGTGGATGAAGGGAAGAGCCAGGCTGTAGGAAGGGGCTCAGGGACTTCTCAGCCCTTGTTCTGGCCACGGGGCTTGAGCCTTTCCAACAGCTGCCGTCACTGGAGGGAACATTGTGCTTGTGAAAAAAATACACAAATCACAAACTGTAATCCTGGGAGAATGGACCATGGCTCCACCTTGAGAGTGTGACTGTTTTCTCTCTTCCTCCTCCTTTCTGCAGTCAGGCATGATAAGGACAGATGAAGCCGACTACTTCCTAAAGCCGCTCCCGCCACACCTAGCAGGGAAGCTGAACAGCTCCGGCCAGGGCGGCCCTCCCTCCCACCTGCTCTACAAGAGATCCACAGAAAGCCGGACCCCGCAGGCCAACGAGGTCCTGATGCTCTCTAGGCAGTGGGGACTGCCCAACCCACAGCTCCCACAAAAGCAGCACTTCTGTGGAAGGCGCAAGAAATGTATGTAAGGGCAATTCTTTTTGTGTTGAATGATTTGGCCATAAATTTCTTTTGAAGTCAGGTCCTTTGCCTGATCTATCTCACAGAATTTTTTCAAATTTTTTTAATTTTGAGACAGGTTATCACTAAGTTGCTAAGTTGTTCAGGTTTGACTCAAACTTGTGATCCTCCTTCCTCAGACTCCCAGAGTGTTGGGGTTACAGACATGTACCACCATGCCAGGCCAATGAAAAATTCTTAATTTCCTTCAGAAATATGTCAGCACACAAGGCAATACTAATTGGTTATCGTTGCTACACTAAGCAGTGGTTCCAGAGAGTTCCCTATCAGCCAGTTCAGTGTGAGACCTCTTTCCCTGGAAGAAGGATAGGTAATCATAGACGGTTTCCTTTTTTTATACAAACTATTCCCTGGGCAGATTAAGTGACACTGCTCAGAGGTATAGAATCCTCCAGACGTCTTCAAAAAAACCCTGGCTTCTCTGCTCGGTAATTCTATATTTTTGAGGCTTAGATTTATTAAAGCCCTGTTGAAGCAGTTTATTCATATCCATATTTATGTACTTTACTCCACCACATCAAAGAACAGCCTAAGCACGATGTCATTTACCTGCAATCCATCCCCAAGGCTTTAAAGAAGTCTTTTTTGTCACGATCATTTAGGAGGTGGTTTATTACTCACATTCTGTGGAAACCTCTCCCAGGTTCAGAAACCACAGTGTCCTGCAGGTCCCTTGGCTTCCTTGAGCTATCTCCTCAAACTCAGCTGGGTGACACTTCCCCCACTGGGTGTCCAGGGAGCTTGCGCTCTGCTGGCCCATCTTTCTTGTGTAGTTGGCTTTGACTGCTTCACCCAGTACCCTATGATAAAGGTAAGCAGGGATTCAGTGAATCTTGGTGAATAAACCGAATGAACCGAAGTCACTTGGCAGCCCAACAAAAATATAGCTGAAGAACCACCTGAAATGTCCGTGCCTGAATTCATTCCATCCTACGTATAAAAGTCGTGCTGCATGCAAGGGAACTTGGAAAACTCAAATTCAAATTAACCTCATTCGTGGGTCCCGTGTTTTATCTCTGGAGGCTCCCTGAGGGGCTAAATCCAGGTCTTCTGTCCCTGTGGGTCCCACACTTACTAAGATTCTTCCCTGGCAGAGGAGAGTTTGCACTCTGTGTTCACTGAAGCATCTGTTGTCACAAGCTCATGCCCAGCCTGAGCATCTCAGTGACTTATCAAGACACCGTCCCAAAATAAAAAATGAAAAAGGGCTGGGATGCGACTCCGTGCAAAGACGCTGGGTTTAGTCCCCAGTACTGAAAACGAAAATAGCACAACAAAGAAAAATAAAGAAAACAAAGGCAGACTGATTTGCGTAGAATAAGCAGTGAGCTGGTCCAGGCCGGGGCAGGGTCTCTATTTCTCAGCCATAGACGTCGCTGTTAGCAGGGGTTTGGCGGCATGCATGCATTTTGGGCCAGTGTTCTGCTTGAGAACAACGCAGAGCATGTGCAGGTCACTGTGCGCGTCCTGGACAGTGAGACCAGCCCCACACAGCGCTGCTCATCCTGTGTCCAGCCCCAGCCTGTGGGTGTCCCGCCTTGTGCTGCAGCTTGGTTTCGTCCAGTATACATTGTCTCACCAGCCGTGGAAATCAATGCCAAGGTTTCAGGCCCACAATCCAGACCTGAAACCTTCTTCCAATGCTTTCCGGGGAAGGTCTCTGGGCAGGTTACATTTGTTCCTTCTCCTCAGTGGTCCCTTCCCTGAGTCCTGTGCTTGGGTGGCCTGGAGGCTGAGTGAGTTACACAGACGATTCCCAAGGGACGGTCACCCTTGACGGGGGCAGCAAGGGCAATAATGGGGAGTGATGAGCAATAATGGGGAGTGATGAACATGAGCCCCCTGGTTCCTGTACCCCACAGTCCTGTAATTACCATTCTCCAAGGATTCATGGAGGTGTGGAGGTATAGGCTGAGTCTCTGTACGAAGTGCTTTCAACCAGAAGTGTTACAGATTTCAGATTTTCCGCATGTTGAAATCCTTTCGTATGTAATGAGATATCTTAGGGATGGGGCCTGAAACTTAGCACAAAATCCACGTTTCATGTGCATCTACCCCGCCAGCCAGTGGGTGTCTGATGCAAGGTTGTTAGCGCACCTGTGTTCTGAAGGTGACCCATCTCAAGAGGTCAGGAATAGAATTTTTGATCTGTGATGGCCTGTCAGTGCTCAAAAGGTTTTGGCCTTAGCGCATGCTCTTACCATATTTTTTAGATTAGTGATGCCCAGTATTTTAACAAGAGATAAAATTTACTGACTGGGAGTACAGATCTGAGGACAGCATCTGCTTGCAACGTCACTGGGACATGTGGCTTCTGCATGAAACCTCCCTAACCGCACTGTCTGAGGCAGCCATTCAATCTTGCTGTTTTCATATAATGTTGACTTAATGATGATAAAGGCCAAAGATATTTGTACAGGTATTACTCAAGGAAGGCACAGTGTATTTTGCTTTCTTATTAAATTAGATAGCAATGCATGGCCCTTTCTAGGAAATTAAACTCTGCAGTGAAATGGAGCTGCCACAGAGATTTTGGAATCCACTTCAAACTATATAACGCAGCCAGATCTCAAATAAGAAAATAATGCAAGCCAGTGCTCTGTTGCTCATCATTATTGCATGGCTTCCTCAGGACCTCTGCTGCCGAGGAGACTGCTTCCCAGATCATGGGCTTGTAGTCTTTGGAGTTTGCTTCAAGTGCTAGGACTCCAGAGTACAGAGTCCCCTTTCTTCATGCTTTAAATCAGGACAAAATTACAGAAGGAAATAGAGCAGTAATTTCCACACACCGACAAGGGGTGAGCAACAGCTACAGTGAGCGATTAAATTAGAAAGATCATTACAATAAAAGGCACGTTGCCACAAATCTCCCTTACATAGTCCCTTATCCCTTTGAGCACACTTATGCCGTGGTTCTTGCCACTTTCTGGAGGTGGCCTTTCACGAGTGTCCTTGTAAAGTATGATAAAATAATGGATGAATGCTGCTGCCAAGGAAGAACATGGTGCTGCGTCCTCATCCGCCCTGTTCACCGGATCCGTCCCTGTGCGACTTCTGGCTCTTCCCAAAGTCAAAATGAAAGTGAAAGGGAAACATTTTGAATCAGTTCTGGACATCAAGGCATCCACAACAGTGCAACTAAAGACAGGCTCTAAAAGGACTCCGGAGCTGCTTCAGAAAAGGGCAAGAACAATGGGATGAGAGTACTGAAAGTGGGGTCGGACTTTGGGGAGGACCAGTGGTATTGTGCCTCTCACTGTAAGAATTTTTTTATTTAAACACACCATATTTTTTATCACACCTCAAATATCACACAAACTTTACCTATGGTGTTCTATTTAATACAACTTTTGTGTCACAGTGTGTTAATGCTTATGTTTTTATTATGACCATTTTTTATTTTATGAAAAATAAAATAAAATTTCACAACAAAGTAATATGAGGATAACAACAGTTAACTCACTCTGCTACCTTATCTTCAAAATAGTTACTCAGAGTACAAGACATAAGCCAGAAAAGATTCTTATAAAAAAGAAATAGATAATAATAAAAAACTTTCTTTTCAACGAACTAAGTTAAACTAGTTAAACAAAGTCCATTTGCATATACGCTGAATTACTTTGGAAATATTGGAGTATGTGATAGTTGAGCTTATCTCTGCTTCCTATTTATCTCTCTGCTATTTTGCTCTTTATTCACCTATATCTGTATCAAGGTAGACATAGATATCTATATAAATACAGATGTATAGATTGCAGTTCTCATATAAGAAGACCACGCAGTAAGTACTTAAGGCCAGATAGTTACAGCACGAGTCACGGCTCTGGTTCCGTGGAATTTGCTTTCCTTTGCTCTTCCCCGTCCACTGTAGATATGCCACAGCCTCCCCGCAATGACCTCTTCATTCTGCCTGATGAGTACAAATCCTGCTTTCGACGGAAGCGCTCTCTGCTCAGATCCCACAGAAGCGAGGAGCTGAATGTGGAGACGCTGGTGGTGGTGGACAAGACCATGATGCAGAGCCACGGCCATGAGAACATCACCACCTACGTGCTGACCATCCTCAACATGGTAGGGCCTGTGGGCCCTGGCGGCCAGCTGGGGAGTGACACCTGGGGACAGTGTGTGTGTGTGTGAGAGAGAGAGAGAGACAGAGAGAGAGACAGAGACAGAGACAGAGGGAGACATGTTTCACTGTTTACTTGTGGGCTTAGGTCTCACAAAAGAGCCATTCATGAAATGGCTCTTTCAGCTTTACTATGCTCCCATCAAAGGAGACATTTTTGCGACTTTAGAGAGTAAAATTAAAAAAGAAGAACTTGACTCTCTACAGTCTGTCAGCCTGGGAGATGTTTCTAGAGCACCAATGTCACTCTTTACTGGGTGTCTCTAAGAGGAGGTTGAGACACCTCAGACCCTTAAATCTGTTTATCAGCATTTGATGTGTGATTTTAGAGGACTGTCTAGAAATACCCACCTTTCTGAAATTCTGCTATTCAGATGACTATGAATTAGTTTGGCTATGAAAACTTAAAGAAACCCATACAAGCTCACAGAGTATCCTGTCAGATGAAGTGTGTCTTTGTCTCAAAGTGGCAGCTGCAGTAATTACTGAGGAGTGATGAGAGCTATGCTAAGCCCTACCACGTGTAAGTGAATTCTAGACCACCGAGAACATGTGGGCTCGTCATGTGTTTTTAAGCACAGTCTAATAAGAATACTTTAGAAGTGTGTTTTGTGTTCTCCTCCATTGAGTGGAGTGTCCTGAAGCACATCTCCCTCTTTGTGGTGTTGCTCAGTTGCCATGCTAGCATCATTTCCTGCAGGTGAGGTCAAAGATTGATAACGGACGAGACAGAAAAGGAGGGGGAGAGTTGCCCCAGGGCTAAGGAGGAGGAAGAAACCTCCATGGAGGACCACAAGGCCCAGCCGAGTCTGATAGGTGGAAACATTTTCCCCCACTCTGCACGCTTGTCCAGGACTTATTTCTACAATGTGGTGCCATGGACCCCCTGCTGCACAGCCCGTAGCTGTCACTCATTGCTTCTATCCCTGAGCACCTCCACTCATCCATTTCTCCTTCTGTGTTCCATCCTTTGCATTTTTTCATTCTCTTACCACCTTTCCCCTTCTCTTTCTTGTGTCCTTGTCTAGGTTACTTTTCTCATTGCAGAGACAAAATACCCAACACCCAAAGCCCAAGGAGGAAAGGTTTATTTCAGCTTACAGTCTATAAAACTTTCAGTCCATACTCAGCTGGCCCCAAGGCACAGGTGCATCACAGAGGAGAAACAGTCCATGGCAGGGCAGGCAGGAGGCAGAAAGCAACAAAGCCACAGCAGTAAGCTCTCTCTCCGCCTTATCCCACCCAGGCTACAAGCCTTTTGGGTGATGCCTCCTACACCCAGGATAGGCCTTCCCATCTCCCACACCCAGAACTATGCTAAACCAATCAGTGCATTAAGCCAGTACCACACATCCTTAATCTCTACTGCATACCCACGATCCAGCCACCTCCAAAAAACCTTACCTATGAAGGCATGAGGCTTTTTGAGACATCTAGATACAAACCATAGTAGTCCTCTTAGTCTTATTCTAAATATTTCTCTTGTGCTTCTGAAATTTCATACCAGAAGAGCTTGGGTGTGCTTTGCCTATGTAATCACTATGTATTAGAAAAATTGTCCCTATATTCTAAGGAGGACACTTGCCAACTCAGGGGCCAGTAATCCCTTCATCAGTACTCACTAATGGCAGGTGAAGCCCCCTACTCCCACCCCCAAGTTTACCTTCCAGGCAGGCACAATGGGGATTCCACATTGGTGGTTAGATATATTTATATCTCTCCAGCCAAATAAGAGAATTACAGTGATTCTCTCCTGTTCACCAGCAGGACCCCAAGCCCCCGACAGGCTGGGAAGATCTACCGTTCAGGGGCTCACACGGATTTGCTGTCTGTTCCAGGTGTCTGCATTATTCAAGGATGGAACAATAGGAGGAAACATCAACATTGCCATTGTAGGCCTCATCCTGCTGGAAGACGAACAGGTATTCTATTTTCTAAATCCATACTTTGCTTTTTTCGAAGAAAAATGTGTTTTATTTTTGCTTTCATATAATCATTCTATGGATTTTTTTTTTCTTTCTCTTTGGGAAAAAGCATTTACTATTTTGTGTTTAAAACAATGAGTTGCTTTTCAGATCTTTTCAATGATTTTTTTGTTGCTTTTTCTTCAGGAATAGTGAGGAAACTACTTTTATAAAATTGGATTGTAAGAAAGCAGACTATGGATGGGAAGCATGCCAGGGACCGAGGACAGAATGTGACTGGGTGGAGATTGTGCCCTTTCTGGCTTTTGCTGGAAGACTAGCAACGTGTTACAGCCTAGATGCTAAGTTATGCTGTGTGTCACTACTGTGCCTCACTCTGGTGCGACCCTGCTCCCAAGGCTGGACACTGTAACTCTCACCACCTTCTCCCTTAGAGTTTTATTTTCATAAGGATTCTGAAATGTCTCGCACACTTCGCTCACCGCATGCACACTCACATTTCCCGGACTGCAGACAAACCCAAACTGCTCTTGTCTTGGTAGCAGTGGGAGAAAGAATGTCATGGTACTGGCTCCAGATCACCTTGGTCCACATGGGCACTTCCAGGCATGGGAAACGGGGACTGTTTTAGTCAGAAAAGGTTCCCATATCTATTTTCCATGGACTAGGCAAAGGAGAGCGCCAGATTCTCCTGTTAGCCACGGTTTTCTTGTGTAAAGCAAAGTACTGACAGGTGGAATCTGAGCTCATCCATCAGTCTCAGATCCTCTTTCCTGTGCAGGGCAGGGTGGGGTGCACGTGGAAGGCTCTGTCTAGCACGACCACTGGGGAAAATGCAGCCTCGATGTCCTTTGTATGCCTGTCTGGTGCGGAGGGGTGTGGAGCCAGCTGGGCTTCTCAGGTGACAGGTTAATTATTCCTTGTATTAAAGCGTTTTCACCTTGGAATCCATCCAAGCTGCAAAAGAATAAGGGAGGTTATCATTTGATCGTACACCTGTGCTCACTTTAATTACTGCAGTGTTCCTGGAAGTCACCAGCTGAGGAATGTAAGGCATGCCTCAGGGCTCCTGTATAGCATTTAGCTTAGGTGTAGCTGACTCTCTGAAGAACAAAATGAATGTTTCAGGAGAAACCATTTGCAGTGACTGAAAGACACAGATTTCTCAGCACTCCACAAGTGAAAGTTTTACACAAAGGTGTACTGACATCAAGGTGTTTAACCTGGTGTTTTTCAAGCACCCATACGAAAAATATACCATATGCATAAATTAAGTTTGTATACCTCACTGAAGCCTAATGATGAGTGTTCCTGCTCCCTCCAAATCCCTCTGTCCTGAGAGTTCTGAAGTTCTCCACTCTGAAATTTCAGTTGCTGCATGAGAACTTGATACCTGTGGGCAACGTTCAGTGTCTTCTGGATAGTGTTTTCTAGTTGAAGTTAGTTTTTCAGAACTGAAGCTTTACCAGTCACTCTACCTCTTTTCATACACATGTTGCCTTTGTCAGGCAGTTCTTAACACTAGTGACGAGCATTAAAAGAGACATTGTTTGGGAACCTGGAATACCACCTGCCCAGCCTAACTATGAAAGGAGCATATCTCTGGCCAGACGTGTTGTTAGTGTACCTACGTTCAAAGCCATCCATGAATGATCATGTTGCCTTAGATAACTTTGCAAAATGATTTTCAAAAATTTTAATTGCAAGTAACTCATGTTCAGTTGTGTACCTGGGTTACTGAACATACATTCATGGCCAGACAGACATATTTCAATGGTTTATGTGGTTTATGTACAGAAAGTAGTAAGTGTTGTCACCAAATCTACACAGGTTTGAGATAACACACTATCTTTGGGATTTGAATGCATTTGCTTGTGTGCCATTCAGGTCCAACTGTGTATTTGAAGTCTGAGTTAATGACACTGTGTGGTGGTGACTGCTTTGTAGCACATGCTTTCTCTACATTTTCATGGGGGTCCTCCCTTTCTTACATAGCCAGGGCTGGTGATAAGTCACCATGCAGACCACACCTTAAGCAGCTTCTGCCAGTGGCAGTCTGGACTGATGGGGAAAGATGGAACTCGCCATGACCACGCCATCTTGCTGACAGGCCTGGACATATGTTCATGGAAGAATGAGCCCTGTGACACTCTGGGTGAGTCCCTGCAGCGGAGCGTGAAGATTGTGTGTGGGTGTCCCTTTGGTGGGGTCAGAAGAGGTTCAGTACTTTTGTACCTGCCCCATATCCATCAGTCACAGCCACTGCAGAGGACAGTTGAGAAGAGACTCACTCACTGGATGAACATTTGGCTAAATGCAAGAGAATGCTTTGCCTCGAGAGTGATTTTCTCCTAGGGTATGTGAGGCCCTGAGTTCAATCCAGCATCGGGTGGGTCGAAGTGGGTACTAAGGCACATAGAGAAGTCCTTCCGAGAGCCACGAGTTTCTGTATCTTCTGATATAAACCGTACTTTCATCCACGTGTTCCACCTTTGTGAGACTGGGAGCAGTAGATTCAGGTGTAGTTCATTCTATGACAGAAATAGCCACAATTATAAATGTTTGTAAAGATTCCCCAGAAATACAATTCCCCTTTCTCTATCAGTACCTCAGTTTCAACAATTAAGCAAACTTTTAGATGCTTGTGGAGGTGGGTGTACCTTGACCGATACTTTCCCAGACGGTCAGTGTGAAGAGTGTGCTGCGGGAGCTGGAGTCAAAGAGCGTGCTGCGGGAGCTGGAGTCAGCTATAGAGCTCTTGCCTACCTTGTGAGAAGCCCGTGCTTGGGGAAACAGAGCGTGTTCATAACTAGGACTCCTTGAGACATTTTTACTGCCCTCTCTTTAGTCCCTCAGTCCTCCGGGAGGAAGTTGTTTTGTTATAAAACTTTCAGGTAGGCCCTGGTCTAATATATTAGCCCTGCAGTTCAGCAACAGGCGTAGTGGCCGGCTACTTCCTTGTCCTGATTTGGCAGCTTCACAGGCTTAGATTTTCGGGATGGTTGTCATCAACCTACCCAGTAAGAGAGGGCCCTGCGCCTCAACTCTGTCCAAGTCATGAGACTTCTGCCTACCACCTGCTTTGCTCATGGAGCCTGGAACTTTGGGGTACAGGAGACGGTGGGTGTCCTTGTGAACAGTTCTGATGACAGCCCTGGACACTGAGGGTCCACAGCCCCTGGCACGTGCTGTCCAGCCCCGTGCTGGGAGGAGGCAGCACGCCCAGCATGAGTCCCCTGCGGGGAGAGTCAGCAGCTGGAGCAGGGCTTTCCCAGGGTGCCCCAAGTCTTCCCTTTGCTGGTTTTACTCCGTGTCCTTTTGCCATACGAAACCGTGAATATGACAAAGTGCTCCTTGTGACAAATGCAAATTGCTGAACCTGGGGCTGGTTGTGGGGACCTCCCGACACACCCATTCTCCAAAAGCTTTCTCCCTCAGGCATTTCAGAACACAGATGTTTACAGAAAGAGGCAGAAATTCTCCCCCATCTGCAATAAATACCTTCTTGTGCTTTGCCCCAATTATAGCCTGTGCCAGGAACACCACATAGAACCATGAATTGTTTTCATGAGAAAAGGGCTCCTCGGGACCCTGGGAATAGATCCCTTCCCCTCCCGTTATTTCACGCCTTTTGTACGCTTACCCCAGGGTTCCCTCATTCGTACTTCCCCCCGGGAAGATGAGGACAGAAAATAAATATGCCACTCTCTTATTGCAACACTGAATGTAATCACCCCATCTCTGTGCTTGCAGGATTTGCACCCATTAGTGGAATGTGCAGTAAATACCGCAGCTGCACTATTAATGAAGACACGGGGCTTGGCCTGGCCTTCACCATCGCCCACGAGTCTGGGCACAAGTGAGTCCATCTCCCCAGGTGGGAAGCCCGGAGCCCTTCCTAACTGCACAGTCACCATAACCTAATACCCATGCGCTAGGTCGGGTCCGCAGAGGGGATGCTCAGACCTCCAGCAATAACAGCGGTTGCCAGGCACAGTCGCTCAGACCCTGTCTTTCTGTCTTAGTGCCCCGTGTGTTTTAAAGCCAGGACGGTGCACGTGTCCACACTCTCCTCTCTGTGATCTTCTCACACACATTGTCCTCTTGGTGCCTAAGGCTGCGGTCAGTTGTATCTGTCTGTGTTCCTCCATGCTGTGGGTGGAACCCAGTTCTGTGGATTCATCTCCTTCTACAGTAGGGTGCTATCAGGGGTCTCCAAATAAAGGAGGACAGTTATCTCCCGTTGCTGACTGCCGTGACTCTTGAGTTTTTGTTTCATAATTTGTAGGGATGTTGTGTTTTGAAATGGGCGGGGTGTGGAAGCGTGGGTGCTGACAAGATCAGACCCAGAAGGAGCCGGTCTCCTTCCTATGTTCCGCCCCTGTCAGCCTTGTTGGTTTTGCAGTGAGGCAGCATCAGTTGTGCCCTGAGCTCAGCCTGGGGGACAGGGCCCCAGGGTCCAGGCAGGCAGCGTGCAGCAAGGGTGGCGGGGCTGTCATTGGTGTCTTCTCTGTATAAGAAAATCGCACATCTCGACCTAGAACGTGAAACATTTCTAGACATTTTTAATGGAAACTGTTATTCTTAGAGAAAATGTTTTGGCTGATAATTCTGCATGCTGACTTACACTTAAAGTACTGTTTTAGAAAAGTTAAGGACCCCTTGGCCACCCAAGCAGCTTCAGACGTCCTGCCGTGTGAACACAGAAAGGACACAAGTGTTTCTTTGCCATACTGACTGTTTGTGAAATTTCTAGAATTGTGTACAAGTAGGAATATCAATTTCTCTATTATTTTTTACTTTCAACCTGATTTCACCGGCCAAAGGCAAACAAAGGCAGTGATTGTGCTTTGTGTTTTTGCAAAGCTGATGTCTCCATTCTCTACTAAAAAACTAGACGGAGACGATAGATTGAAGTCACCCAGCACTGTTCAATGCACACATGTGTGTGTGTGTGTGTGTGTGTGTGTATGTGTGTGTGTATGCTTCTGTCCACCGAATCCCACAGAGAACCTGTAGGCTGTGGCTATGTGTGAACCAATGACCTGAAAATGAGGCTTTGTATCCCATTTCTGATCCCTTAGTCATCAAAGGTAATGATTGACTATTTCATTGCTTGAAAAATTGTACCTACCCTTTACAAGACTTTCGGTTAAATCATGATTAGAGTTTTAATAGTCTGCTAGAGTTAAAACTTCAAAAACTTTCATTATTGTAACGACATGAGGCTCTTGCTGTCCTCTGAACCATACCTGAATTTAATTAAACAATCAAGGCAAGAAGTATTTCAATCACCCTGGGCCGAGCCTGTCAGCGCTGGGTGAGCAGCTGGGATGGGGGCGTGGGCGGCACAGGCCGCTGCAGCTGGTAGACTCAGGTAAAATTCAACTCGATCCATCAGAACTAGGCCTTCTGTTCATCTCAGAGTCAGCCCGTGTCGGCGTTGGCATTTGTTTCTCTTAGGAGTCAATTATTAATATTTCCATTCCTCACTCAGACTGGGCCTGGATGGATAAAGAATTTCCTCCAAATAAGGAAAGGATAGTTTCTCCTGAGTGTGGGAATATAGTGGAGGGTAAAAAAGGAGCGCTGCGCACCGAGGAAGGCGAGCCCCTCACCAGTAGCGTTGATCTGCAGGAGTTACGGAATCCTTGCACACCTGGTGCTGAAAGAATTTGTGCAACAGACAGAGCAGGGAGCTCTGAAGAGTTGTGTCTTCAGTAAAACAGTTTTTGATCACATTGAGAAACTAGGAAATGTGTATTTACGTATTTAGCATGTGCTGAATTCTAAAATAAGTGTCACAGCAATAACAATTTAATAATCTGGCAATGGTACTAGTAATAACATTTTATCAGTCCACCGTGTTTGCAGTACGTAATGCATTTATTGTGGGGAGTTGGTGCACACGACACATCTCAATTGTTTTTTATCCCCTTTCCCTGTCCTCCTTCCCCCGTCTCTTGACTCTCCTTCTCACGTGCAAATGATCTATCTTCCTACTTCCTAGTATCTGTTTTTTATTTTGCTCTTTAATTTATTTATAGTTGGGTTTTGCATGTCTGCAAAGTATGTATACCCTTTCCCACACAGCCACACTGCAGAAATGACTGTGACAGGCCCTCACATTGCCTTCCCTGTCCAAGGGAGACAGGCAGACTGTCCAGCAGATGTGTCTGACGGAATGCGGGATGAGCAAGCACGGCGTGAGCATGTGTGCACGTGTACATTGAGTGTTTCAAGCAAGTTGTTACATGATAAAAGCAGCGGCATACCGGACTCAGTAACACAATTTCATAAATTTTATTTGAATCCAGTCGAAGGCCACACATCTATTGAGTTCACTTATTCATTATTTCTTTAGAAGGGAGTTACCTTTGATGTGCGATGAGACACCATGACATAGCAGTGTGCCTTTACCTTTGGCGGTGAGCTCCAAGGACAGTCAAATGCTTGATCTCTACAATTTAAGAATTAGAAAATTACTTTCACACCTGTTGGCATTTTGACTGTGAAAGACCTGTAAATACCCTGTTTCAAAGGTGAAATTTCTTTCTTGAGTTCTGGTCACGTGCAGAGGCCACCATTTGCAGGAAAAGCTGCTTCTCCACGCCTCCAAGCCATTATGTCTTCTGAGCTTTGACTCAAAGCTGGATTTCAGCCAACATCCACCTAATGGAACTTGTTGAGTTCCGTTATCTTCATCTGAAAATATCTTGTAGTTCCTACGGGGGAATCTGACCTACAGAGAGCAGTTGCCAGCAACAAGTGTTCGGATCAGAGTTGGAACCCAGAAGCTGGGACTGGAATCGAGATGTGCTTTCTCCTCGAGCACACAGACTTGAGCCCGGATGGCTCTCCTGCCAGCAGCTTGAGGAATTCCCTGCTTACATTAAATCACTAGACTTGGACATAGGGTTGCTCGGTGCAGGTGCTGAAGATTTGGCACAGAAATGCCAAGGGCTCAACTGCACATTTTGGAGAATCTGGGCCTGAATCCATGTGACAGTACCCGTTAAAGGGAAGTCATGCTGTGTGCTGGGCAGTGCTCTGGGACTCAGATTCCAGATGCACCTCAGCACTGCCACACCTCGCAGTGACAAGCAGCTGTGCCCGATCCAGGCCGGCTCATGTCTGTGTCTTCTATCCACAAAGCCAGCAGAGCACAGCGTGCTCCTCACGTATGCCCTGAAGCAGAAGCGGTAGTGTTTGAGCTACACCTTTCTATAAAGCACTGTGTCCTCATGTCAGGCCACTAAGACACCATCCAAACAGATTTGCTGTGCTTAGAAGGGCTCGTCATCCATTGCTGTGTTTCCTGTCTTTCCCTGAATCTGTGGACACACCACCTCCACTGGGCCCAATTCGAATTCTCCCGGAGGCACACTGTGTGGCAGTCCATTGACGACTAAGGATTCGTGCCTTCCCAAAACCTAAGAGAGCACAAACCAGTCATGCCAGGCAAGGGCAAGGAGTGCGGGCTGTGTGTAGCACCACCAGGGCAAGCAGGAGAGGCTTCTGGAAAGGATCTGAGAGGGCGTCAGCATGGATTAAGTCAGAGCTGTCTTCAGGACAGCCGTGCTTCTCGGTGATGCCAGGCGCCAGGCCCGTGTTTGACGATGACGTGTGCATCTCACAGTGTGTAACTCTGCCCCTCAGCAGCCTGCACGAAGCCCGTCCCAGGGTCAGAAAGGCTGTTAGTGCATAAAGACTGTGGGGGGTGTTGGGGAGAACTGGTCCTTGCATGTCCTGTGATCTCATGATTGCTGCACTGCCCTCAAGACGCCAGCACCAGGGTGTCTGTTCTTACCAGTTGTACTGACTGTCATTTTTATTAAGAGTTCTCACTTGCCTCTATGCTCGGAAGTACTTAAAATCCTTTGTCTTCGAACTCTGATGAGCCCCACCCCCCCACACACATACACACTGTATATACATGAATGACTTCTGCGTGCTAAGCGTTAGTTCTGCATTTCTCTTTATGAAGCACATGGCGCCGTGTATTTTGTATAGCTTGTGAAGAAAGCTTTATCATCTCGTCTCACACAGGAGGAAAGCGAGGCTTAGGAGCAGATAATTTGCTCACTGTCAGTCAGCTCCTGTCTGGATCCCACACCTCCCCAGCCCTGTGCTTCCAGTCATGGCCCTGCTGGTCCCTTGATTCCCCGCTGGCTGCTGCCTGCATCTCAGCCTCTTGCCTCCCTGGGGGATGAGCTGAAGTCCTCAGGAATCCTGAGCCAGGGCTCTGGGCATCCCAGCCCTTGGTCACCATCCTGGTGGCTCTGGCCCATTGTTCCCCCAATGGGTGTCACATTTCGCTAGCCATGCTGTCTGACTGGACTGAAATAATTGGTTCAACCTCTGCAGCCATCTGACCGAGCATCTGCCTTAGTTTCCTGATCACTGAAACACAGCACCTGGCACCAGCAACTTAAAGAGTTTAGTTCGGCTCACAGTTTGCAGAGGACTCAGCCCTTATGTGAGCGGCTGGCTCCCAGGCACAGAATCATGATGGAGGAGAGCTGCTCATGGAGGAGAAGTGGCTCATGGCATGGAAACCAAGAAGCAGAGAGAGCAAAAGAGAAGCCAGGCTGGGAGGGAGATAAATGCTTCCAGGCCTCACCCCCAGTAACCCACCTCTTCTGACAGACCTCCCCTCCTGAGAGCAAGTCAATTATAAGGCCCTCTGACCCAATCACCTTCCAAAACCCCACTTCTGAGTGCATGACGTTCTTGAGGGACATCTAGATAGACACCACAACATCACCATGATGGGAATTTTACTAATAATGAATAAATACTTGCAGATAGTGTTTGAACCATTCCAAAAAGCACTGTGGAGGACAGTAAAACATCTAACAATAAAGGTAATTACCAGATCCACTATAATCCCAAATTGGGCTGTATTCAGTGTTCGAGTTAGCAGTACAGCTGGGAAGATTGCCTTTTATGCAGCCGGCAAGCAGGAGCACTTGCTGTGGCAGTCAGTCCTGCTGGCAGGGGGCTGTGGGGATACCAAGGGAGCCTCAGTCTTTCAGAGACTTACAAACTGCTAAAGATAAAGAAACTATATTTATTGTTTTATCATATGAGTGATAACTTTTAAATAAAGGGCTATAGAGCACAGGAACAAAAATCTATCTGGCGTGTATAAGATAAATAGCAATTACGTTTCTTGGTGGCCAAATACCAACCTTATCTTCAAGATGTGCTCTATTCACTCTTCCATGGCTTGGCTGATGTTAACTACTGTTAAATGTGATCCTCATGTGGTCTTCCTATGTTGAGGTGCTGGCATCTGTCACCCCACAGTCTGTGAGTGGGACACTAGTTGGAAACACCACTTGTGGGAGAGTGGTGCTGAGATCTGATAGGCATAAGAATTCCTGAAGATAGATTTGAATACTGCTGGCTGCCAGGTCCTAACTGTCTTAGTTACTTTTCTCATTGCTGAGCCAAAATACCCAGTGCCCAAAGCTAAGGAAGGAAAGGTTTATTTAGCTCACAGTTTGTGGACGTTTCAGTCCATAATTGGCTGGCTCCAAGGCAGAGTGGCTTGGCACAGGGGAACAGCTCGTGCTGGGCAGAAGGTAGCAAAACAAACAAGAGATCTTAACAGCATCTTTCTGCTCCTTTTATACTGTATCTAAGCTGCCAGGATTAGGGCAGTGCCAAACCAATCAGTGGACTGATTTAGTAATCACAAACCCTTAATCCTAGCACCCTTAATCCAGCATTGCACCATGAATCAGTCACACACTCTAGATTCAGCCACCTCTGAAAAAGCCCCACGTATGACTGCATGAGGTTTTTTCTTGTGGAGGGGGGCATCTAGGCACAAGTCATAAAACTAACCCTCAACCTACTACTGTATCTGAAGTCTACCGGGGCAGGCTGCAGCTAGGCACACTGCTCTTGGTATTTCTCACAGTTGCTAATGAATAGCAGAGTTCGAGACCCGGTGCTAGAGAGAACCATGGAAAATACCTCGGATGAAAACATTTAAAACCAGGTACGCCCAGACCTGGGGCATTGTCAGGTTGATTTCCTTGGAAATGTGGGCAGAAGTGCTAATAACTTTATCAAGGCCAGTTGCTGGATCAACACGCATCTTCTTCATGAGCGGGCTGAGAGCCAGCCCAGCCAGGGTGGTTTGGAATTTTACTTCCACTGCATTCTCTCCAGGGCAGCTCTCATCAGGGATTTTGGCCCGAATCCTTTTCACAGCCATGACACATTTCCTGTACCATATGGCTGCCGCGGCGTTGATAATGGCCTTTAGTAGAACTTCAGAGCATGGGTGGAGGCTAAAATGACCACATCCACATCACCCTTGGTACTGATCAGGAATTTTACAGGAACTGGACCATATTTGCATGCCAAATCTCCTTGGAGACACCCTTCAGTGCTGCTCAGGTTCCACCACTGCAGGGGACCTTCCTGGCCCCGACTGCCCGGTGTCCAGGCTCCGGCCTTGTCTGTGTGCAGCTATCAGTCTTGTGATTATGGTGTTATCCCTGCCTTATAGGGGTGAAGTGAGGTTTAAGTTAGAGGAGGTCATGTGCTTAACACCTTGCCCATGAACAGTGAGTGCGGCTCTAAGTAAAGCAACAAGAGCACATTCAGCCTCAGCAACAAGAGCACATCCTCCTTTCCCCTGATGGAGCCCACGCCCCCATGTGGGTGTCTTCCTGGCCCACCTGCTTCCTCTCTACTTGTTAGGGGACCACACATCCTCAACACTTTGCCCACCTTGCATGCAAGGCTGCGGGGGTCTTCAGGATTTGTACTTGGGAGAGTGCCCCGGATGCTTGCACCTCTGCTCTGCTCTGCAGTGACCATCTCTCTCTTTCCCCTGCAGCTTCGGCATGGTCCATGATGGAGAAGGGAATATGTGCAAAAAGTCAGAGGGCAACATCATGTCTCCTACACTGGCAGGACGCAATGGGGTCTTCTCCTGGTCACCCTGCAGCCGCCAGTATCTGCACAAATTTTTAAGGTAGGTGCCACATCAGCTGGCCTTGCGGTCTCTCTCAGCCTCTCAGGGTCGCTGTTGGCCCCTCCTTGAACGTTCAGCTCAGGGTGTGCTTTCCACGGTGGTCTACTCCAAAGTTACCTTCAGTCTTCCGTGTGACCCAGGAGGTCACTGAAGTCCTTGCAGCAGGAAGGCTGCCAGGCTCAGGTTGAGGCTGACCGATAGACCTTGAAGCACTTGAAGCACTTTGCAAACCAAAGTATTTGTCACTTACATTAACTTTCGTTTCAATTTTTCACTTTCATACCAAGGTGTCTTTAGTCAACTCAAAAGAACGGAAGACCTAGTGTGTATATTTCTGTGTACATAATGATCAAGCAGAACTCCCCCCACTTTTTTGTCAAAATACATTTCCATTTGATGAGAAACCTTGAGTATATAAATCTTACCCCTGACTCTAAATCTTTGATTTGAAGAAAGGTGTTTTAGAAAGTTTTACTATAGCATTATTTCCTTTTTATATAGAATACTGGGCAGATAGAGTTTGACCTTTGAAAAATAAGTAGTCAGTAGATTTTAATTTAATTCTACAGAGAAAGAAGGGACTTTGAGAACTATCTGTAGGTCTACTGGTTCGGTAGGCTGTGCTCTACATCTCACTGACTATGAGTGTAAATGCTGGTTCAAACCTTAAACCAAACTTTGTTTCTGACCCACAGTGTACTCCCTCGTCCTGGAGCAGCAGGGACTGAGACAGAATGGGCACAATGGTGTCCTACAGGGAGGCTCAGACCGTGGCCCCAGAGTGTAGGGACAGAGTAATGTCGTCTGCTACGAGCCTCAGGAGCAAGCACAGGGGGCTAGTAAAGCTATCTCCCTGTCTCCATCACCCATCCCAGGTCCTATCACAGGGAAGATGCTATAGCACAGAGGCAGTAGCCCATTTGAGAGCAGTGCCTAAGCCCCATGACTCTAGAACTGACCTCTCTTTACTGACCCCCAAGAATGTGGGTACAGCCAGCATCCTTGCAAATTTATTTTCTTTCAAGATTAAAACTTTCAAGAAAGCCTCTCTCTTCAAACTTGCTACTAAGGTTTATTTTGCTTGAAAACCAGAGGCCAACTGACCCTCTTGCAGCGAGTTAAACGTTGATTTTTCACTGGCTTAATGCATCTGAAACTGCCTTGTTTGACGTGTTTGTCACGTTCCTGATTGCTAAGTAATCAAAATGCTGTTATATCCTCCACCAATTAAGTGGCCATCTGGATATGATCCCAGCCATGAGTAAGAATAAACAGCTAGCTGTAAAAGATGAATCTGCTCTCCTTTATTAGCAGTCCGGTATTTGGTAGATGGAAAAATATGTATATGAAGGAACTCAAGTGGCCTGAAATTGTCAGCATGACGTTTCTCCATTTGTGGTAGCTCCATGGAGGACAGATGTGTGTATGGAGGACAGATGTACATATGGAGAAATTCACCAGCCCACTCGATAAAGCTGGGTGTCATTTCCTGTTAGTAAACACAGAGTTCATCACAGCTCCTCATGTCTGCATGTAGGAGGTCTATGATTTAGGGAAATTTTAGTTCATTATTTTACATTTCATGACAACATGGACTCATCTTGAGTTTGCTTCCCAAAAATTGGACTCACATTGTACAGATCCATGAACATGCCTCTCTCTGACCACATGAATCTACATGATTCATTGCTCTGGAAAGGGAACAATCACAGGGAACTGAAGTCTGAGGGGAGCCTGGCTGCCCTGCCACGTCCTGTACCCTTCTGATGATGAGAAAGGGTGGTAGCAGGGAGAAGGCAGAGGGCAGAGGGCTGGTGTGCTGGTCAAGGTGATAGGACTCATCTCTGGGAAAGCCCTGGATTCAGCAAATAATCTAACCTTTTTGGGGGTTCCCATTTTCCTAATGGAAAATGAAAGGGTACAACTAAATGATGTTTCACACTCTAACAGTGTATGGTTCCTTTCATTGCTTAGAGTGGGAATGGATTTTGAAGTGCTGTGACCTTGCCGTATTGCTTTTGCCAGCATTATTTTTGTTGTAGTACAAGACACATAGAGGAAAGCATAGAGTGCTAAGGACCTCTCACCTGGGAATACAGTAGCATGATTTGTCCCAAGCCAGGACAGAGCCTGAGAGCACCTGGCTGTCACCTCCCTCCTCTCCCACACTTACCAAGCTCTCAACATGGCGCTCCATCTTTGGTTTAGCCAGATTTTTAACTTTCCGTGATGGGAGTCATGTTACTATTTTGTGAGCAGGAGATTCTTCCTCATTACCGCATTTAAGTATAGTGTTAGTTCATGCAGGAAGTGGTTCATCTGTGCTCTTGGTTGTAGACATTTGAGTTTCCAGTGTGTGTTGTTGGGGGGAAGATTGAATGAGTATCCTAGTCCAGTCTATGTCCCTGAGAACACAGGAGTGCAAGTTCATGGTCCTCAGTGTGAATGTGCAACTTCAGTAGCGGCTGCTGAGTAGCTGTGCAAAGCTACACACCCAGATGCATTTGTGAACATTCATGTGGCTCCAAGCCTCTGCCAACACCTGGTCTTGCAGGTGTTTCTCATGGCATTTATTGTGGCAGGTGTGTAGTGCCATATTCAGGTGGTGATCGGTCAGGTTGAAGACCTTTTCATGTGTCTTCAATGAAGCGTCTGTTCACATCCCCATGCCTTGCTAACACTGAAGCCTTTCTCTTATTTCTTCATGGATTACTTTACACACCTGAGTGTGAACTTTTGCGCTCATTTTGGGATATGTGTCATGTAAACATTCTCTCAGTGACTTTCTATTTTCACTTTTAATGGTGTATTTTGATAAACAGGCATTTTTGATGAAGTCTGACTTATTCATATTTTCCTTTAGAGTTGATTCTTTTCTTTAGAGTTGTATATTGCTGGAGAAAAAAATCTCTGTTTATTCCAAAGTCAGAAATACATTCTTCCACATAGTCTCTCTCCTACAAGCTTATTGTTTTGTTTATCAAATGTACACAACTTCACTTTTTTCTGTATGGTGTGCAACAGTGTCAGAATCTATTTTGTCCGTATGTATATTATAGTACATGGTCTCCAAATGACTGTCGTAATTATCCTTTTGGTACCATGTCTTTGGTGTTCCATTTTGTATTCTCCTCGGGAATGACTGAAAATTCCCATTGTTCCACATCCACATCAGCATTTGATGTTGTCAATATTTTAGCTTTTAGCCATTGTAGTAAGTGTGTAGTGATCCTCAGTGATAATTAATCTCTAATTCTCTAATGATATGTGATGTTAAGCATCCTTGTCCATGCATATTTATCATTTGTATATATTTTTAAGGAAGTGTCTGTTCAGATCTTTTTTAGTTGGGTTCCTGTTTTTCTGTTGAATTTTCAGTGTTGTTGGTATATTTTATATAACAACCCCTTATTGAAAATGTCTTTTGCAGCTATTTCCTCTCATCTGTGGCTTGTTGTCTCATTTCCTTGAAGCCGTAGGTTTTTAATTTTAATGAAAGTCATCTCATCAGTGATTTTTTTCCATGATCGTTGAATCTAAAGTCTTCGCAATTTGCAAGATCACCTAGATTTTTCCTATGATATTTTTTGATGCATTACAGTTTTATATTTTTCATTTAGACCAGTGATCCATTCTGAGCTGATTTTTGTGAAAGGTTTAAGGTCTAGTTTCTTGAAGGAGAATAGATTTTCATTATATATTGAGGTTAAAGAATAATTTTTAGTGAATTTTTCTGTCTGGGACAAGGTATGGATCAAGGTTCTGTTTTTAAGGTAGCCCAGTATTTTCTGTTCCATTTAATGAACGATCCAGACTTTCATTTGAATTAATTCAATTTATAACTTAATCAAAAATTGATGATCATGTAGGGCTCATATATTTCTGGAATCTCTGTTCTATTTTGTTGACCTGTATGTCTATCCTTTTGCCAAAATGACCATAGCTTTATAGTTAATCTTGAAATCAAGTAATATGAACCCCATAATGTACCTGAAATGTATCAAGATTCTTTTTGTAACACACCGATGTCTAGTTATTTAGCACCATTTGTTGGAAAGACTGTTGTTTCTTCTATGACCTCTACTCCCTCGTCATGGATCAATTAACTGTATTTGTGGGTCTAATTTTGAGCACTCCAATCTCTTGCATTGATCTGATTCTCTTCTTTGACCAATATTCCATTTTCCTGGTTACTGTAACTTTATAGCAAGTCTTAAAGTTGAGTAGTATCAATCATTGAACTCTATTTTTCTCCCTCAATTTTGTGTGGATCATTTTAGATCTTTTGCCTCTCATGGGAATTTTTAAAATCAGTTTATATATCCACAGAATAACTTGCTTAAATTTTGATTTGTACTGTATGGAATCTGTAAATCAAAATTGGAAGAACTGACTTCTTGACAGTATTGAGTCTTCCTATCCATGGACATGGACTACCTCTCATTTATTTAGTTCTTTGATTTTTTTTTTTTATCAGTTTTGTGGTTTTTCTCATAAAGTATCATGTAAATATTTTCCTACATTTATATCTATGTGTTTTATTTTGGGGGTGCAGCATGAATGACATTGTTTTTACACTCCAAATACATTCCACTTTTTCACTGCTCATATATTGAACAACCATTGACTCTTGCATATTAACCTTTTTTCCCCACTCCAACCTTGCTATAACTGCTTACTAAGTCCAGGAGTCTTTTCTTCATTCTTTTAAATTATCTACGTAGATAATCATGTCATTTATGAACAAAGAGATTTATTTCATCCTTCTGTCTTTGTAACTTTTCTTGTCTTATTGCATTAGCCAGAAATTCTGCTATGCATTGGAGTGGCAGGAGGGATAGTTTGTCTTTCCTTCTGGTCTTCCTGGGAAAGTTTCACATTTTCCACCATAAATCATAATTTTAGCTGTAGGTTTTCATAGATGTTCTTTACCAAGATGAAGAGGTTCCCTTTTATTTCTGGTTTACTAAGACTATGTAGGGTTTGGGCGATGCTTTTTCTGCACCGTTTGATATGACCATATGCCATTTCATCTTTCACCACTTGATGAGATGGATTGTATTAATTGACATTTCAGTGCTGAACCAGCCTTGCATTCCTAGAATTGGTCCCACTTGGTTGTAGCATATGATTCATTTTTGCTAATATTATTTATTGAAGATTTTTTCATCTATGTTCAAGAGAAATATCAATGTATAGTTTTATTATAGCTTTTTCTGCTTTTGTTATTAGTTTAGTGCTGACCTCATAGGATACATTAGGATGTATGACCTCTAATTACATCTCTGGAAGATTTTGTAGAAAATTGATGTGCTTGTTTTTCTTAAATGTTTGGTAGAATTTACAGGGAATCCTTGGCTATTTGCTATTTTTTATGCACAGACTTCCAAGCTCCAAGGCAGTGAAATCTGGGAACACAGTTCTGGAGACTGAAGCCAAAGATTTTCCATTCAAAGTGGATAACCACTTAAAGCAAAGTTTAGGGGGATGATCTGCCATTGTTCAACTTATTATGATTATAGGTTTTTGTTTTTAAAGGATTTGAGGGCATGCTGAAATTTATAGGCAGGAGTTAGTAGCTGTTTGCAAACAAAAAGAATTAATATACTTTCCCCCAAATGCATACATTACACCAAAAGTAGCCTGATAGTGAAATAATGTTCCATGTCTAAAAAAGAGAATCATTATTTGGTCATTAGCCACCTACTAGCAAACTTCAGTGAGTTAAATTCCTTTAGTGAGTTAATTTCTGATCTAGTCAGAAATCAGGCTGAGTATAGACAATTGGTGGTGGGAATCCAGCATCCTTAAAGATCCTGTGGAAGCTGCAAAGTGTGACACAGATGTTCCCCAACCTAGAAGAAAAGGAAGGAAGGGAAGAGGAGGAGACCAGGGAACAGGGGAGAAGGAGCAAGGAAGGAAGGCAGGGAGGAAGAGGAAAGGAGGAAGGGGGAAGGAGGGAGAGAAGGAAGGGGCAGAGGGAGGGAAGGAGGGAGGGAAAGTAGTTCCAGTCTCTGAGATACTCTGATTGTATTTTGATTGTTACAGCTTTCAGCTCCATCTTGTGATTATTTCTCACTAGAAATATATGTAAAGGTGTCTATAATAGGATCTTCTCACACTGAACATCTGATTGTAATTATTCAATTTCATTTTTCCGCATATGAAGAACTATAGGAAGAACAAACTGTCATCTTGGAAAAGGTAAAATATAAACAATTTCAGAAAAAAGTGTGGCCCCTGTGTTTAAATATAATTAACATTAAGATTAAACTAAACGTCAGAGAGAAGCTTCACTTCGTTCTCTGTAAGACATGCTGTAAAGCTGCATTAGAAAGAGAGGCATCAATAACTGATTGGCATATTTGGGAACACGTTTGGCCATCTCTAGTAATCATGTCTCCTTGGTTTCAGCACTGCCCAAGCCACGTGCCTTGCTGACCAGCCGAAGCCCGTAAAGGAGTACAAGTACCCTGAGCAACTGCCGGGAGAGTTGTATGACGCTAACACCCAGTGCAAGTGGCAGTTCGGCGAGAAAGCCAAGCTCTGCACGCTGGACTTTAAAAAGGCAAGTGATTATTGGAAAATGCTCAGTGCAATAGGGTTCATAAGATCGCTTTATTTTGTGTAACTGACACTGATGTATTCTACAATTATTGGGTGCCTACCAAATGTCAAATCCTGCATGTTAGGGCCAGTCCTGTGGAACAGGAAACACATGTTTTTTTGGCAGAGAGGATGACGGTAGATACTGCTGTGGGTATCAGCTTTCTTTTTAGAACTAACTTGGCCTGGTAGATCAGACCTTTCTTCCTGATTTATCACATGGGAGCTCAGCAATAACTTTCAGTTGGCGTAAGTTTGCAAATTAATACTCTGCATGTTTTTCAAATAGTATTAAGAAAATATAAGCATAATTTATTGCATTGGAAAGCAGCAGCCAACCTGGGACTTCTGACTATTAAATTCCCCAATAAAGTATTTATAACATAGTCTCTCCTAGAAGGTGGTATCCACTGCATCCACCCCAGGGACAATCTCCTGTGGCCCGCTCCAGGTGATTTTCTGTATAAACAGAGACATCTGCTCTTGCTGGACAGGGAAATTAGAGATTTAAAACATGCTCTACTGAACCACAAGGAAAGCTACTCATAAATCAGATGAAAGTAACTAGTTTTGAGATTTCTTTTATTCTACTTTATAATAAAATCAAACAAAACAGACAAAAAATATATATAGTCCTCCAGAAAACCTCCAACATTGCGGAACGTGCTGGGAATGCTCTCAACTTAGCCCCAGCGGGCTCGCCTTCTTTCTTCTAAACTCAAGTGAGTCTGACCTAAAGATCAGACTGGGCCCCGTGCCAGCAGCGGTTTTATCTCTTTGGCTGGGTGATCTCCACATGGAACAAGGATATGAGATCCGCTGGCGTCTGTGTATTTTCCTGATGTTGCTCTTTTCAGAAGATACAAATTCCCTGAGAAGTTGCTTTTGAGGGTTACTCTGGCGTTTGTTAAAGTAAAGAGGCATACAACTGGTGTATTCTTTCAAAGGTGGGAGGCTCTACACTGTAGCTCTGGTGTCCGGATTATTTTACTATGTGTCCATGGCCATATCATTTGTGGTATCTTAATATCATATAGAAAATATAGGCAATAAGTCAATTGCAGGATATCTTTTTATTAATGAAGAAATATTTTCATGCAATGAGGTATTCATCTTATGTATAAAATTTAAATCCTGACAAACACATGCACCCCTGTCGCCAGCATCTCAATGAAGATGCATCTTATTTCTACAAAGTCATGGGCATGTGGATGGGAATTCTGCAATGATTAGAGTATCCCAGAAACACCTGTTTTTAATTGGTAATATTTCTTGCACCCTCTGTGTCCTGTGTAATGTTCACTGCCTGTGTTATGACTTGCAGAGAGATGTGTGTGAAAATCTCCGGCACCTTCTGTTTCTCCCTCTAGTGCTGATGGCTCCTCTCACTACTTGATGTGAATGTAGCCACATCATATTTTATTTAGGAATGTTATTTGCATGTCCACTTTTAATCCTCTTGCTGTCAATTTATTTGTGTTCTTGTATATAATGTATGTGTTGTAAACATTTTTTTATTTAACGTTATTTTTCTGTTCAACTGAACCATCTCTGACCTTTTAAAAGAATATTTAATCATTTCATATTTCATGTAATTATCGATGGGATGGAGTTAAATATACCATTTTTCTCTTTGTTTTCTATTTCATTTCTTTGCTCATGTTTCCTGTTTTCTTCCTTCTCTTGAATTAAATTATTTGTTAGAAAGTCTGTTGTTTAAACAGTACTTGCTTTTAGCTTTACTGTATAGTGCTACTTCTTAGCTGCTCCAGAGATTTCTGCATCATCCTTGATTTAGAGTCTGTGAAATCACATTTTACCACCTTGGGTGCAGTGCAAGATCCTTACAATAAATTCTCGGTGTGTCACTCTTCTGTACCTCATGCCACCACCATCGGTCTTACTTCTACTTGTGTTAAAACCACACAGTGCAATAATTTGTGTTTTAAATTTTTACTTTTAGAAATAAGACCATCTCTTATGTTTACCCACATATTTACCATTTAACATTTATGTCTTCCTATAGACTTCAGTTTCAAATTGATATCTTTTTCCTAGGACCTGAATAACTTCCCGTAACATTTCTTGTTGCATTTATCTGCTAGCCACACGTTATTTCAAGTTGCTCTTCCTCTAATTAGAAAGTGGGATTAATTTACTCTAGATTTGGAAGATTATTTTGGCTGGAATTATAAGCATTTTTTTTCTTCTTGTTTCTTTTATATACTTAAGCAACGTAGCTCAGTTTTCTCTAGACAACTATTGCCAATAAAGGAGTTGGTCATGACTTTTTAGGAGGAGGATTATCCTCCTCCTACCATTTTTGATCATGTTTTAGATAGCTCAATGAAATACACATGGAGGTTATTAATTTCCAGTTGTAGAATTACATTTGGCTTTATATTTCTCTTCTGAAATTGCCACCTTGTTCACTTTTGTCCATTTTTTTGCTGTTTTGTCTTGAGTATATCTGCAATGCATTATTTTAGAACACATGTCTGTGTTGTAGAGACACAAGCGCCCTCAGAGGCTTTGTTATACACGGTGCCCCTCCTCCGTTCTCTTCTTCCCTCTGCTCTGCCTCACCCGCGCCACTGCGGTCCTCACTCAGCACCTGTGCTTCCTGGCTCTGTGCTCGGGCACTCCTCCTCCTCGAGGCCGTTGGCTTTGTGTGCACTGGAGCCCTGGGCCCCGCACTACACTGCCTCTGTCTTCCAGCCCTGACCGCCCGCGCTCCTCTGCTAAGCTGCGTGGAACCTCATCTTTGCCGTTAGCACTTGCGCCTTAGACAAGGATGTGCGGGAAACCTTGACACAGGCATCTGGGCCTCCCCTCCTGCTGCTTTCGCATCCCTGTGCTATTCCCACAGACTCTGTCACTGGACCAGGCCTCGCTGCCCATCTCTGCACCCTCTAGCCAGGAGCCCCCAGCACGGTCTGCCAGCTCCCAGGCTGGTGGGCGGCCAGGACACCCGCCTGCACCTTCCCTTCCCCAGGACATCACCTCCCTTGCTGTGCTGCCTGTGGCCAAAGGCCCGACACAGTCAGTGCACGTACATTTCCTGTACGGCTTTGTAGAGTGGGAAAGACTTTTGTTTTCATTTTCAAGTTTTATTGTTGTTTCACAGAAAGATGCACTTGGTAGCAGATACCATGGTAAGTAGGAAACATACCTTTCAAATAGACTCTCCGCCCTTTGTAGCTGCAGTTTGACATCCTGAGATGCAACCAACTGTGGATAGAAAAAATTTGGGAAGAGCTGCATTGGCACTGATCTTGTACCAACTTTTTCTCTTCATTATTCACTAAGCAGTACAGTGCAGCAACCATTTCTTTAGCACTTACGGTGTATTGGTTGTTATAAGCTCAGTGGTACCTCGGTTCACAAACTTAATTCTTTCCACGATTCTGGTCCAAACTGAATGGGACAAGAACCAATCAAATTTCCTCATCAGGTCAACACTGAACCTAACCATTGAATTTAGGTTTTTTTTGTTTTGTTTTGTTTTGTTTTTTTCTGGTACCGGGAATCAAAATCATGACCTCACACTTGCCAGATAGGCACTGTGCTGCTGAGCTAAATCCCCAGCCCAACCATTGAATTTAAATTAAGGCGCCTGCTTAACTTATCAGCTTTTTCTTTGCCTTGTTAGTTGCTTCCTCTAGTGAAGCTTTAACTCTTTCTAATCAGGATTAACCGAAAAGCTCACTGAGGCCTTTATCCTATTATTTCCCTGCTTGTCTACCTGTGCCCTTCCCCTACACCATGTTTTTTCTTTTTCTATTCTAATTCCTATTTATATGGCCAGAATATCCACTATACCAAATCTCAAAATCCAACATGGTGTGGCAAGTGGAAATTCTTCATTTTTCACGTAGATTAAAATATCTTAGAACACTGTGAATTAAAAAAATTAATTATTGAAATCAACTCCTGCTGAAATTACTTTAAAAGGTACATATTTTGTAGTGATAAAATGTAATGAACAGAGAGTTTTCCAAAGGGGAATATAAAATAAGAAATAATTAGCAAATTATGCAGTGTGCAAGCCAGTATCTGGTGCATTAAAGTAGCTTGGTAGAACTTCACTGGTCTGGGTGGACATGGATGCATGCTGTTTTAGTAAGGGACAGCCCTTCCTGAAATACCTTATGATGTTTACTTTGGAAAGTTAACACACAATACAAAAGACATATGAGTCCTTCTCTTGCATAAACGAATGCTTCTTTGGTTCATAGGTCTGTGTGCTTACATTCTTGTGTGTAATTTCACACGCGTACCTGACAACAGCTGTCTTTGTCCACTAATGTATGGCAATCAAAGCATCATTCTGGGTGAAAAGCAAACAATTACAATGCATTGCACATCTGACAATAATGTCATTTGCAGTTGCTTTCTGAGTTCCCGTTTTGGGGGTCCAGTACAGACAGTTTGAGGAAATGAGTGGAGGGCACACACTCTTCCCAAAGATGAAGTGCCCCGGTGCATTTCTGACAGAGTCATCTGTGGTGTTGGTTTTATTTGGGGTCATGTTTTGATGTTCGGCCTAATCGAATCTGTTCTACTGAAATTGGCCTCTGTAAGCAGAACTCTTAAATTACGGGGTGCACCAGTGGTTGAGCGCTTTCACTGAAGACAGCGTTCCTCAGCTGCAAAGACAAAAGCAGACCGCATGCTCTGCGTAGGGTTTGGCTTCCTTCCATCCGGTGAAGCACTGATTACTGCAAACATTGTGTCTTTATCAAGTATGATTGCGATCCATCAACATTGCTTGGTGGCCTGACCCTGAAGTCTGCCACATAAGTGGCCAGAATTCCTTTGAAATTTGATCTCCTCCCTGTCCTGGGACTTGTTGAGTTGGGAGCTCCGCCCACAGCCGGTGAGTCTCACATTCCCTGCTCCCTGACTCAAGAAGCCTGACTTAGTGGGATGACCAGTGGTCAAATACTACCACTGTCCATTACGTTCAGAAGTGAGTAGGTAAGCTGAAGCTTGATAGAAGTGGACAGGAGATGATGGATTTCACTTTATCGTCTAATTTTTAAGATACCAGAGCCTCTATTGGGTTGTCCGGGACAGAGGGCCGTATCTTATGCCAGATATTTACATCCACAGGGTGTCAAGGGTCCCAGGTACTATTTGATCTGCTGAAGAACACTAACATGGATTGTGTGTTGTGTCAAGTTCCTCCAGCTGCAACGTTTATTCCCGTCTAGAGGGCTGGAGTTTGGGATTGAACCTACGCCAAGCTGAGTCTAAAATGCTCGGGCGCTGCGAGCCAGGCCGCAGATGAGTTAGCGGCTCTCGTGCTGTGTTGCGGGGCACTCCTGCCAGCATCTTTAGCTGAGGGATTTCTGTTTAGAAAAATTGGAAGCCACAGCCTGTAATGTCTTCCACCCGTATTTCTTTAATCTGAACAACGCTCCTAAAAACTAAAATGTTAGGACCCGCCTGAAATTTCTGAGCAGGAGCCTGATTCTAAAATTTTTGTATCACACTTCGGTCCTCTCTTGAGTCCTCTCACACATCTGCTTACGACCACAGCTCACTAATCATCATTAACTTTGTCATGATTCTGCTACTGCTGTGCACAGACGGCTCTCCTCCCGGCGCACTTTGCTCAGAGGCTGACAGGTGTGAAGCACAGTGACCGATGCTGGTGATAAACACAGTAAACCACGTTCTCGTGATGAAACACCATCGGCACTGTACGTCCTGCGTCACCCCAGGGAGAGCCTGGGGAGTCAGCACGCCATCCTCCCGGGGCACAGCGACCGGAGAGCAGGATCACAGGCTGAGACCTGTGACGGAGCCTGAATCTCCTCCAGCCTTGAAGAGAGAGAAGTGGCCTGGTGTCTGTCAGAGCCAGGCCTGAGCTGGGCTTGTTGCTTATAACCACTTCGTTCAGCCCCAGGACACGGAGATGAGTGATGTTCACAGTGACACACAGCGTACCCATTTACCCTGCCCCATCCACACCATTTCTGCCTCCGTAGCTCAGATGCCCAGATTCTCCACTGGACCACTGTGGCCATCCCCCAGCCACCCCAACACACAAGCAGCGCCCTCTCATTCATTCGTGTGTTCGTCTCTCACATATATATGCACACCCCGCCTCCTGGGTCAGTAGGTTCAGTGTCCCACCCATCCCCAGGTCTCTGTGAGCCGCCATCCGAGACCAAGAATCCCTTGCTCCAGCCCTCCCAGGTCCCTGGTCCACCCTCCCTGTGGTCACCCAGAGACTGAGCCTTGGCCCATCAGCTCCAGGTCCAAGGGAGCTTTATTTACTCCCTGCTATTTTCTCAAGGTGTCATCCCTGCAAGCACATAGAGCTGTCCAGGTGTCTCTTTGGAAAGCTATAGACACCGAGGCTCCTACTTTTATAGATTCCTCTTATAGTTCTCAAAATATCTTTCTGGCTAGGAACTGAGGTCCCCACACAACCAAGTGCTCCATGTACTGCGGACGTGAGTGCAGAAAACCTCAGCCGTGGGACATCGCTCCTTGTCCTCCACCCCAAAGATGTGGGCCCAGCACAGCATGGGCACCTGTGGGGCACATCGACCCTAGCAGTAGGCACACGAGAGAAAGGAAATGCAGGGGCATAATAGTTGCAGTCCCACGAGAGTTTATGTATGGCACAGAACAAATAATAATGGATACAAAATAAATAACAGTTGATGTCGGAGTTAAGCCACTGCACATCTGCTTGTTAAGATTCTAAATTTCCAAAAGCTGGTTTATCAGGAAAACAAGAGAAATAGGAGGTTATGTCTTTAGTTGATACCTTAATTTCTCAATATGCTATACATAGGTTAGGAGGAGATTTTAAAAATTGGTTTTATGAAGGTACAGTTAAAATGATTATTAAAAATAAACCCTTTGTGAGATGACTTGCACAATGCAAGAGACCTCCTTTACTTTATATATTTTTGGGATAAGGTCTCGCCATGTAGCTCAGGCTGGCCTGAGCTTACTGTGTGGCTTAGGCTGGCCTGTAGCTCATGATCGTGCTGCCTCAGCCTCCTGAGTGCTGGCATCACAGCAGCTCCACAGCTGGCCAGAAGTCTTCCTTCTAACACCACTGACACACAGGAGACTACAGTGTCATCTTTAAAGCACAACTACGTTGCCTTACTGCAGTTTGCTTTCTCCGTAATACAAATCACTCAGCAGCCATTAAGTTTCTTGGAAAATAGTGCAGCGTGCATTAAATATTTAGCACTGTCGTGCACGTGGTTTAGGAAATGCTGTCATCATTCCCCATCAAAGCTCCCGCCAGCATGCCAGAAGGATCCTGAGACCAGGTGCAGACTTTTGCAGGTCACTAAGTGATAATGAAAGTCAACACAGCTCCTTCAACCTTGAGAGCCTTTGTAGTTTATCACTCTCAGACCTTGCTGTAGTTTCCCGGCAGACCAGCCCCAGGGGCGTCCTTTGCATACATCCCTCTTCAGCCGCTCATTCACTCCGAGGCTGAGATCCTCCCTTTCTGCCTGCAAGAAACATCTCCACTGAAGAGCGGCCTCAGGCACGCTTGCTTGTCTGACCCCTTCTCTGAGCACTCCAGACAAAGCACTTTCTTCCCTGGCACGCTCACCCTACACCGTCTGCTCCATCAGGTACCTTGCTCCGTGAACACCGTATGGGGCTTTACAGCAAGCTTCTTCTTTGAACTCTTAGGGCCAAACTCAAAACTGCAGATCAGGTCATATTCATTGTGGAACCTCTTCCCTGCCAAGATATCTTGCATGTTTTAAGTTTTTATCAAAGGTTTAAGGAGGAGGGAGGGAGGGAGGGAGGGAGGGAGGGAAGGACGCATGGATGGATGGATGGATGGATGGATGGATGGATGAAAAGATGGAGGGATAAATACAGGGACAGAAAGACGAATAGATAGGTGAATGATGGGTGAGTGAACCAGCACTTCCCTCACCATTTTTCATTTAAACATTAAGATTTAGACTTGGAGAGTTTAGTAGAAGGTAAGGTTGAAAGCAGCAAAGTATAAAATCTTTATTTGGGTTTTCTCAGTTGTAACTTCTTATAGTTTTCTGCCATGTTTGGGTTAAACACATTTTACTTTAATTTAAAAAAAATAATGTCACATTTATGAAGAGTAAATATAAGTAAAGCTTGGAGGGTGAATTAAGTCGAGCCAAGTCTGTTACACAGGTCTTCCAGTTCCTGGTCTATCATGTGCAGTTACTGCTTTTGATTTCTATCAGTTTCTTTCCCTTGAGCTCTGCATCGACATTTTGTTGTAAGTGCGTGCTTCACTGCAACGCTGACGAGCTTTTTTCCCCACTAGGACATCTGCAAAGCCCTGTGGTGCCATCGGATGGGAAGAAAGTGTGAGACGAAGTTCATGCCAGCCGCAGAGGGCACCCTGTGCGGGCAGGACATGGTAAGAGGCCCATGCTGGCTGCAGTCTTTCAGAGCATGTGACTGTGCTTTCTGAGATTTTTAACCTGGGATTTCCCGTATACCTGTGTACACACCTGTTTGGTCGAAGGGTCTCTGTCAAAGCGGTCTTTATTTCATGCTGAAACTCGTTACCACTTTTGTGGGCGTACAGTTGACCAGCGATCTGGAGTTAATAGATACAAAAGTCAGGCAATAGATGGTGAGTGTACTGATTTAATAAAAAGATAGATTAAACCATTGACTCTAACTGACCGGTATTGCAAGGCCAGCAAACAGTGCTGCTTGGGTCTCCAAACATCCCTTGGAAGACTTCACGGTGGACCATTTTGACCTATGGCTGTGGCTACCCCCTTGAAGAGGCAGAACTCCATTAGGAGAAGGAAGAAATATGTAAGATGCCAAGTTTTTAGTTTGGTAGTTTTTGTTTTATTTTGCTTTGCAGTCTGGGAATTGAACCCAGAGCCTTTGCACTAAGGCACATGCCCAGTCCTTTTTAATTTTTTATTTTGAGACAGGGTCTTGTTGAGGTTGAGTTCCAAATTTACAGTCCTCCCCCCTCAGCCTCCCACAGTGCTGAGATTATAGGAGTGTGCTACCATGCTCAACTAAGATAGCAAATTTATTAGCAACTGGTAGAGGGTGAAACCTTGTCATTACAGTTTAAGAATTATCAGGGCTGGGGAGTGTGGCTTAGCAGTAGAGAACTTGCCTAGCATTCATAAGGCCCTGGGTTCCACTGCCAACACTTAAAAAAAAAATAGTATAACATGCAAGAGTAACATTTTAGTCCACTTGATTTAACCAGTGATCACATTGCTTTTTTTTTTTGGTTTTTCTCTGGTACCGGGAACCGAACTCACGACCTTGTGCTTGCCAGGCAGGCGCTTTTGCCACTGAGCTAAATCCCCAGCCCCTCACATTGCTTTTTTTATTCAGAATATAAAACTTCCCCCGCCTGCTCCTCCCTTTTGCTCTTGGTGCTTTTGCTGTGTTCTGCCTTCATGTACTGTAACCCTCTGCCCTGTGCCACCCTACCTTGGAGCCAGCCAAGTATGCACTGAAACCTCCACAAACTGTGAGCTAAATAAACCTTTCCTTCCTTCATTTTGGGCATCAGGTGTTTTGTCCCAGCAATGAGAAAAAAGTAACCAAGACATTTGCTATTCTGCTATGCATGTAACACTACCATTTTGTGGCCTTATTTCTATTTCTCTCAAGGACTATTAATAAGCATCTTTAAGTATGTTTGGGGAATACATTTTTCTATCTTGTTTGTAACAACTTTTTCAAATTTTGTCTGTGTTTGTAAGCTGAGGCCCGCATTTTTCTTTATGCTTTACAGAAATTTATATTAGTCATATGTATCCAAATAAAGTCTCCTTTTCTGCTGGAAAAAAAAAAGAATATAAAAATTATTGTTGAAGATATCAGTGTAGTAGACCTAAAATACCACTGCAATCATTTCCAGCTTTTACTTATGTAGCCTCCATAGTGATAATAATGACTGAAAACAAAGCTATAAATGTATCTCGATCTACCGTGTGTATATTTGAAAGTATGCCATGTCCTAACTGTGTCAGTGTGACTGCAGACAGAGGGCCTTTCAGTGTCACCAGTGCGACCTCGGGTGACTCAAGTTACAGTGCCACCGTAGTGCAAGAGAAAATGCAGGGGTGGAGGGGACCTTCCCGCCTACACCTGGCTGTGGGTGTGTGTGTGTATCTCTGTGTGTGTGTGTGTGTGTGTGTGTGTGTGTGTGTGTGTGATAATTAAATTCTTCTAGGGATGTAGGCAGCTGTGGTTCAATTAATCTAAGACAAGAATGTGGCAAGATTGCTCTTAGTGTCTGGAAGGAGAAACTGTACCCAGGGGTGTGCAGCATGGAAATTCTAATTATGAGAGGACATCGGGCCTCTTGCCTGGACACAGAGCAGCGCTGTCCTGACTTCCTGTTTACACCTGTCACCATCTGCACTGAGCACCATCTTGCTCTTCCTGGGAAGGAGCTGGTGGCCCCGGCCTCCTGCATCCTTCCTGTCCCGGTCAAGTGCTGTTTCCTTTTTCTTAGTGATATCGCTGTGATGTTCCTGCAAAATAATCCATGGATTCTTGTTGCATTTTATTTACCTTGAAAGTACTGTTAACTTTCAGTAGTACTTTCAATAATTTCCCCTTACAGTTTTGCTGAGCTATATATTTATTTATTTATTTGGCACCAGGAATTGAACTCAGGACCTTGTGCTTGCCAGGCAGGCACTGTGCCACTGAGGTATATCCCTGGCTCTTCCCCTTACAGTTTAAACCTAGCTTTTCCATTTGCATTGGAAAGACCAGAGCCAGTCAGAGAGGTAGGGACCCTGGACTCCTGAGTCAAAGTGGCCAAGTGCTCTGCAGGTGGTCACAGGGCTGCAAGTGGCCAGCCTTAGTCCATCTTCCCTTTACATTTGTTGTACATTTTGTGTGTCACTGTGTGTACTTATGTGGAGGAGGTTGGTGCACCTAGATGTGCTAGTAAACATCCCTGCACCTGGGGACTCCACAGAGCTGCCTAAGCCTTCCAGGACCCCCTCCTATCCCCATTCTGCCACTTGAATAAGGTTTAGTTCATGTTTTAGTGCCAACCTTGGTCCTCATGGTGGCACTCTGAGGGGACCATGTCAGCTTCCACTGCTTGCTTGTTCATGTACACACACACACACACACACACACACACACACACACACACACGGCCTGCAGGTCCCAAGAGGGCACTGGCTCTCCCATCACTGTGGGTACTTAGCATGGAATTAAACCAGCACTCGGACTAGGGCAGTGCTCAATGGAAGAGTGCTTGCCTCGCATCCATGTGGCCCTGGGTTCCGTCCCCAACACTTCCAAAGGGAAACAATCACAAAATACATTTAAAAATGAACCTGCTCCACTTTTGTGATTACCCGGTCTCCCTGCTTGGCGCTGAGCCCACACCGTCGTTGCACTGCAGAATGATGCTGTCTGCTAGTTTGTTTGTTTGTTTCTCTCTTTCTTTCTTCCTTTCTTTCATACTGGGAATCGAAGTCAGAACCTCATGCTTGCCAGGCAGGCGCAATTCCACCGAGTATATTCCTGACCTGTCTGCTAGTTTCTGCTCCCTGGTTTCAGAGGAGGGCATGGAAGCTCAGAGCACATAACTGTCTCTGGTAACAAAGCTCGTAGACCTGAGAGCCAGTGCTGACTTTGCTCCCCAGTGTCGGCTTGTTACTCTCGCACACGCTTCCCTGTACTCACGGGGCTTGTGCACAGCATGAAGGCTCTGTCAGCAGTGCTCATAGCAGAAAAAGCTGCGTCCCTGCGGTGTCCTCCTGAGAACAAGCCCTCTGTCATAAAGCATACTGGCCACCAGTGAGATGGGAAGTTGTGTTGAGCACCACAGGGCCCTCCTCAAAGGTGTGGCATGCGGGTGGAATTCTACCCTCACACACAGTGGACCCCCATTCCTGGATGCCAGTTGCACCTGGAGCCATGGCCACATTAAACCCTGACTGCGTTTTTCCTACACACACACACCCCCTATGATCATAAGGCTTAGTGTATGAATTAGACAGGATAGGAGACTAACTGCAACAAGCTATAGTGGTAAACTGGAACACTGATCACAGTATACCATAGTAAAACTGTGAATGTGGTCTCTCAGAACATCACACTAGTTCATTTCAAAACTCATGAGGACGGCCAAGACTGATGGGTACTAAAGAACACTTTTTTCCATAAGATTCCATAAGAAGCAAATAATCAGAAATACTTCATGGAGTTCCCCAGAGCTTTTACAATTTGCTGGGCTCATCTCAGCTTTTCCTGGGCTCGCAGAAGCCTCTTAGGCTCAGTGGTGTCACTCCTCACCCTTCTACCACCTGTGGGGAGCACTCACAGTGCACAAAAAGCAAAAGAGAGACAAAACATAAGAGGTGGGGCTGCGCGGTTTCCAAGCTCCCTGAGACCCATGCGGTACCCAGCTCTGGAATAGCTGTCTTCCTCAAGACATGACTTGTGCAGGATTGAACAAGTTCTGGAGCCAACAGGGCCATGGTACAACTGCGTCATTGTCCTCTGCTCAGCCTTCTTCTGGTGACCATGAAGGATGGTGCAGCACCCGTGGGTGTCTAAGGTACTGTGCCCTAACATGAGGCCACAAGACACAGGTCACTGGAACATGGCACATAGTTCCACTTCCTGTGTCTGATAACCAGGATGGTGAGGACATGAGGAGCTGGAGCAGCGGTCCAGGGAGGCCGTGCTTCACCCCCAGGCTCAGACGGAGGGGATAGGGTGGTGCACAGTTTCATCCTGCTGTGCAGAATGACATACGTTAAAATCGATGAGTTGCTCCATTCCAGAATTTTCTATTTAATATTCTCAGACTATGGTTGACCACAGGAAGCAAAGACCTCAAGCGTCCAATGCAAAAGCAGAAAAGAAAATGTTGTCAGGTACTGTCATTAGTCAGAGACAAGGAGACGGAAAGCAAAGCCACAGGTGGAGGAGCCGCTGCTTTGGAGTTCAGGGCTCTAAGCCTGACCCCACTCTGCAAATACCTGTGAACTGCCTGAGGCTGCGTCTGGAACTCTGTGTGTGTGTGTGTGTGTGCACGCGCGCACGTGCCCACATGCATGTGTACACACGTGTGCACAGGTACCTAAGTATCCACACCTAATCCCCTTGGAAGAAGATAAGAGTGCTTTTGATTCATGTTCTCTGAAAGGTTGGTTTTTTTAAAACTTTTTAAAGTAGAAATGTTACTTAAAGATACACTGGCAAGAATAGCAAAACATTCATTTGCAAGAAAACTAATTGCATCTATGATTATCCAAACAAAGGAGAGAAGAGGACACAAGTGTCCATCAAGAAAATACTGGCTAACAAATAAACAACACTGGATAAAGGTATTGTGTAACCATAAAAAATGGAGGGAAAAAGATGTTCACAGACTTCTGTAAAATGATCTACGAAACATAGATGATATCGAAAACCAGAATGGAAAAGATTTTCTGTATTTTGCTATCATTTATCAAAGAAAAGGAAATACTGAATTATCTAATCATTTTCTTGTATATTAAAAAGTAAAACGATAATCCAAGTATGTACCTGTAATCCTAGCATTTTGGGAGACTGGGGCAGGAGGATTATAAGTTCAAACCCAGCCTGGGCAACTGTGTTAGTTTGGGGCATATTTTGCAAGGGGAACAACATAATACAGGACACATATTTCACAAGATTATTTGTAATAGTCATCCAAAGAGTGATATACAAAAGAGTGCAGGAAATCTGTCCACAAAGTATAGACCAAGGAATCTAGCTGAAGGCTTGGATCCTGCAATAATGTCCTGTATGAGTCCAGCTGAAGACCTAGAGCCCATAATAGTGCCTCCCCCGAATCCAACTGGAGGCCCAGAGTCCACAACATCTCATGCAGGCCTGTTTCACGGATCTGCACTGGGAAGGCCCAAAGGTCAGTGGTGGAATCCAGCAAGTCTGTGCCAGTGGGATGAAGGATCTGTGCTAGCAGGCTGAGGGATCTACACTGAAGCCAGGAAGTGATGCTCAAAGTAAGAACCGGAGCTCCCCTGAAGGGTACCACAGCCATCCTCAACAACAGTGAGGTCCTGAGCTCCTCAGATGATCAGGATGGCTGAGTTCCCGTCAGGAAATCCAATGCAGCAAGCTTCTCCAGGACACTGGCAGTGCACCATCTTCCCCTCCAGAGCCAGGAAACAATGCTCAAAGTGAGGACCAGAGCTCCCCCAAAGTGATCCAAAGCCGTTCTTAGTGCCAGCAAGGTCCTGAGCTCCTCAAAGGATGGAAACAGCCAAGTTCATCAGGAAAGCCAGCATGCTAAGCTCCTCCAAGAGAACCAACAGCTCCTTACAGCTTCTACCAGCTCCCAACAGCCTCACTTCTTCCTCTCTAGTTCTGCCTCTTATGCAGCTGGCAACAGCCCTCAGTCGGGCCTCCCACACTCAGCACCACACTTACTCAGTTCAGCTGGGGGTTATAAGTTGATCACCAGTTGTCAATCCACTATAGCAACTTATCAACTTAGAGAAAACTTGTCTCAAAAAAAAATGTTGGAGCTGTAGCTCAGTGTGAAGTCCCTGAGTTCAATTTCCAGTACTGCAAATCAGTAAATAAATAAACCATATATGTTGAAAGAACATGTAAACATTCAAAGTTACTTTAAATTTTGTTAGAGTGATCTCTATCAAAAGCAAAACAGAACAGCTTAACCTAAAGATGTATCAAGTTGCTCTCACCCTGGATCTGAGTTTGCCTGGTGCCGCCAACTCAGGATGCAGAACCATGTTTGGAGGTACCCTGGAGAGGCAGCCATCAAGATCCAGACTATGAGATAGTCTACCACACAAACAAGTGAACTGACAGGAAAGAGAACATCAAGAGAAAGCATAGACGTTGAGAGACGCTGAAGAACCATCAGCTAATGCAACAGACAGATCTCCTTTCAGATGAGAAAAACAGTGAGGGAAGTGGAATTCTGAACTCTGGATATCTCATGACATTATGGAGTTATTGTAAGTTTCTAGGTATGCTAATGTATTGCCTTTATATATTTGAAGTCCTTAATTTTGGAGACGAAATGGGATTCCAGGTTGAGGAAAGAAGGCTGAGATGTGATTGGTCTTGGAGACCTGATGAAGTGGGGTGCTGGCTCCAAAGATCTCCTAAGACTATTGTGTGCATCTTAAAAATTTCCCTTTAAAAAGTGTTTTCTGGGCTGGGGATTTAGCTCAGCGGCAAAGCACCTGCCTGGCAAGCGCAAGGTCGTGAGTTCGGTTCCCAGTACCAGAGAAAAACCAAAAAAAAGTGTTTTCAAAAAAAAAAAAAAATCACAAAATGGTAGCACATATGGGGTGCTCTGGTAGGCCAAGACAGAAGAAATGCAAGTTTGACCCCAGCCAGGGCAACTTAGTGACTTACCAAAGCCTGTCTCAAAATAAAAAATAGAGAGCTGGTGATGTAGCCCCAGCACAGAGGCCCTAAGCGCAATTCCCAGTACCACAAAATGAAAGCAAAGGCCAAAGCGTGACTCTGTCACAATGTCACTACCCGTTTTGGACCTGTGAGCTTTGCCGGGTAATAACATTGCACAGGTGGTGACATCGGGACTCCAAGTGAGACTGCCCACAGGTGCCTGGTAGAATCAGATAAAGCCGACGCCCCCTCAGTACCATGCATACACTTACCTTTGAGACAGGTAAGACAGACCTGCTGCCTTCTACCTACCTGTCTCCGTTCAGGAGATCCAGGTCTCCTCTGCATCTGTAAGCCAAGACAGATCTCTTGCAAGTGTTTTCTGAGTTATCAAACTTGTGGATTCTTGCTTTCCTCTTTGCTGCCTCCTATCTTGAAAGCTGCAACTCAATATTTTCCTTAATAGAATAAAACAAAGAACAGTGACAGGCAGCACACACCTGGCTTCTGCTCCTCCCTCCAGGCTCTGTCTATAGTGAGCACAGCCAGCCTCGCTCCTCTCCTCTCCTCTCGCTCAGGAGGTGGCTCAGACCCTGCAGGCACCTGGTCCCCACCGCAGGCTCGGCATTGTGCTCAGAGGACTCTGGATATTAGTCTGTCACCTGCAGCAATGGTGGGTGGTGATGGAGAAGGCACACCTTTCTATGTTGCCTTTCTTGTTTATGTTTCTTTTACTCTTGCTTATAGATTAAAATAAAAGAATTGAATGGGGGCTTTCAAAATTACTTGTTTCATGATTCAGTATTTCTTCCTTAAATAATCTTAAGTAGAGCCATTTGAAATTGCCATTTCTGCCTGTCGGCAGTGGTCAGATATCAGTGGTTTGTCCGGTTCTAACCCAGGAGTCTATCACTCGTGAGCGTAGTGCTGTTTTCCCCTTATATGAATAGCACTTTTTCCTCCAGCACAGAGCTGCTGGCTCTACTCTGCAACACTGGAACTGCCCTGTCCCCGCCCAGAAGCCGGGCTCTGCCTGCCCCATGCAGAAGGCCAGGGAGGGCATCCTCCTCTGTCCCTCACCAGCAGGCAGAGGGTGAGACCGTGCTGGCATTGGTGTGACAGATGTCAACGCCTCACATGGATTTTCCACGTGAATGAGAATCATGGAGTGCATTTTCTGAGAGAGGAGAGGCGATCCCCTCCCCAGCCCTGGGGGACGGATAGAATTCCCTGCAGACTGCTCGGTCATCGCGCCCTCCGTGAAGCAGCTCCAGCTCCAAGCCAGCTGCTCTGGGGTGAAAGCGCCTAGCACCTGGCCTGCAGCTGGATTCCCCACCTGAGCCTCACCCTGCTGGGCGCAGCAGCCCTGCAAAGCTCGGATGCAGGAGAGAACAGCCACACCGCTGTCCATATCCGTGCCGCGCTCCTCCACCAACCGGCTCGGTTCCCAGAGCTGGGGTGTTTGAAAATCATTTTCCTCTTCATCGCCTTCAGAAGGAGTGATCAGAAGATATATGTTTGAATTTTTTTACAAATTGCAGTAAAAGATGTTTTTTAACATTTAAACATTCGCTGTATGTTTCAATCACCCCTCATCTGTGTGAACTAGTAGGGTGACGCCAAGTTTGGGAAACAAAGGAGGCAACATTCAAGGCACTTTCGTCGGATGCCACTTGAGGGTAGGGGATGAATGTGCCCATTTTACAGCACTCCGCTGTGACACTGATGAGGCAAATCTGCCTGCTGCCCATAACACAAGTAAATGCTTTGTTTCTTGTTTCAATATTCAGTGGTGCCGCGGAGGACAGTGTGTCAAACACGGGGACGAAGGCCCCAAGCCCACGCACGGCCGCTGGTCAGACTGGTCGCCTTGGTCCCCCTGCTCCAGGACCTGCGGTGGAGGGGTGTCACGCAGGGATCGCCTCTGCTCCAACCCCAAGTACGTGTGCCTGGGCCTTCCCTGTGCTCCGCTAACTCTGTGCTTCCCCATGTGCTGTGAAACGGGAAGCAGGAAGGGCGTCTGACTCTGGCATTTCTTTTATCCCTTTAATACACAAGGTGTGATCAAAACCATGGTCAGTGTGGAGTGCCATCCAAAGAAAGAAAAGCCAGGCTGGTAAAAACATGATTGTATGCCCCATGTGCCATATTAACCAGATCTGGCACCACTTGACTTCAACCTCTTCCCCAACATCAAAGTGACCATGAGAAGGAAATATTTTGAATCAGTTCAGGACATCAAGGCAGCCACAACAGTAGCAGAAAGAGGGCTTCCAGAACTGCTTCTGAAAGTGGCAAAGATGATAGGATAAGTGTGTTGGAAGTGAAGGGAAGGATTTCCAGGGGGATGAAAGACTATGTATCTTTTACTGTAGTAATTTTTCTTAAAATGTAAAGGGGCCCCATATATTTTGATCACACCTTGTATAACTTCTTGACTCCTGCAAAAAATAACCAACCCATATTTAGTGATATTCAAAAGGAGATTTTAGCTATATGTATTTGAAATACTAAGGGTCTACTTAAATAGCCAACTCACTGGAAGAGTGTATAGAACACCAGTGAGCAGGAATCAGTAAGGTCAATCCTTTTGCACAAAAGCAAACCCCAAAATTTTGTTTTTTCATCCAGTACATACACTTTTTTTCCATTGTGCTTCTGTCAGAGGACAAGACAGTGTGAGACAGTCACCCACAGGGCCAGGGATGGGGCTTCTCATCCTCCCAGGCTAAGACCTAAGTGGTCCTTCCCCGTGCTCCCCACCACCCCCAGCTCCACCTGTGCACCAGGTGCTCTCACCTGCGGTGGCTCCAGGTGCTGCCTGACTTGGTCCTAATGTCCTGGCCTTGTCACAGAGAGGCTGGAGAGAAGTTGTGTCATGCTCACTCAGGAAAGTCTCAGTGACTGCTGCCAAGTATGCATTTTTTTTTGAGACAAAATCTCTATGCAGTTTTAAGTGGCCTTCAACTGCCTATATAGCTCAGGCTGGCCTTGAACTCATGATCTTCCTGCCTCAGCTTCCCAAATGCTGCGATTACAGATGTGCGACATCATGCCTGCCTTCCAAGTGCACGTCCTTAGCTTTCCTCTCATAGCAAATTGAAGCCCCAGCCCCACCTGCCCTGTACATGTCTGTCCCCAGGAGGAACAGAGTAGCACGGGACTCTGAGGTTTCTAACTGCAAAACACACATTCCAGACCGTCCCACGGAGGGAAGTTTTGTGAGGGCTCCGCACGCACCGTGAAGCTTTGCAACCGCCAGCAGTGTCCGCAGGACAGTGTGGACTTCCGCGCCGCCCAGTGTGCCGAGCACAACAGCAAGCGGTTCCGCGGGCGGCACTACAAGTGGAAGCCATACACACAGGTGGAAGGTAAGTCTCCAGCCCTGCTTCCTAGCCACATCCTGCACTCTGCCGTCTTTGCTTATTAAAAATTGTGATTAGTAATGTGACATTCAGGTAGACCAGTTGTCCTAGCTCTGGAAGGTCCCTACCATGTACTCTATCCTGGAAGTGAGCTTGATCTGGCCTGCTGCACTGCCCTGACATCTTATCTGCCTTTGACCAATGCATGGTCAGAGATCCCCAGGTCAGGTAGAGAGCAGTGGCATAATATGAGCAATTTTGTCTAAAAGTCATTTCTTTATCAGTTTAAAAATTGCATGTATTTCATCGACTGCATGAAGAATTTCCTTGATAATTTTAATTCTTTTATTATACTCTTTTTGTAAGAACTTTGCATATTGCTACAAAACTATAGTGACCTTTTCCATCTCCACAGAAGAGCAGTGAAACGTAGTAAATCATTAATGTTGTAGGGAAGCCAACAAATATTTATTGAATGCCTACTATGTGCCAACTCTTATATAATAAAGATTAGTAAGGAACACAAGAGTTAAAATTAAGAGCAAAATATTAAGAAACAATAACAACAAACATAAAGGGAAGCCACTGAAGAATGTCTTTGCAATGTGTTATTTTGTGGGAGTTATTTTATGGGAAAAAAATAGAAAATCTATCTAAAATTCAGAGTGAAAATGATCCGAGCTTAAGTATCTTTCTTATTTGTGTTTGTGTGTGTATTTCTTTTTAAGATCAGGACTTATGCAAACTCTACTGTATCGCAGAAGGATTTGATTTCTTCTTTTCTTTGTCAAATAAAGTGAAAGATGGGACTCCATGCTCGGAGGATAGCCGTAATGTTTGTATAGATGGGATATGTGAGGTAATAATGATCACTTCTTCGTTCAACAAATGTCTCCGGACGGTCTGCTTTGCACCAGGCACCCTGTAGGGCGAGAAAGACCAGATGCGTAAGAGGAGCCTTCCCTGCAGGTTACAGGCAGGGGGAGAAACCCAAAGAGCATGCTGATGGCTCTGCCTTGCTACACTGCATGGGCAGAGACGAGGGCTACTGCTCTCTTAGCTGTGGGTCTGGGTCAGTCAAGGGCACCTGGGAGCAAGAAGCATGCACATCCGAGCTAGACCTGAAAGGCTGGCTTGGAAGAGGGGTGCTGGGAAAGCAGAAAGGGCAGCGTGGGACCCAAAAGCTTGGGCTGCTAGGAGCTGATTCAGTCACAGGAGTAACGGAAGGTGGGCTGGACCGCAGGGATGGGCTGCAGTTCCTTCCGCCACAGCCACCACTGCCAGGGCAAGAGTTGAGATTCCTGTTCTTGTGCCCATGGACAGCAGGCGTGGGGTTAGGGTAGAGGAGCCTCAGGATTAGGGTGCACTTTATGGGCAGTCAGGAGAGGCAGGGACAGCAGGGAGCCTGGGGCCCTCCCTCTTTGCAGCTGTCACTGTGAAGTGGCCCCCTCAACAGCTCAGCCCAGAGTGCCACAGGGCAGTGCGGGGCAGGAGGTGAGCATGTGGGAGGAAGAGGATAGGCAGGGAAGGCATGAGTGGCCAGGGGGACAATAAGGAATAGCCAGGCATGGTGGTGCTCACCTGTAATGTCAGCACTTGGGAGGCTGAGGCAGGAGGATCGCCATGAGTTCAAGGCCAGCCTGGGCTACATAGAGAGACGCTATCTAAAAAAACATAGAAACAAAAAAAGATGACAAGTAGAGAATTTTGTGGTAAACAAGGTGAAGTTGCCATCAGATTAGACACACTGCAGGGAGCAGCTGGTTCTACATGCAGAAGTGAGCCGATGCTCATGTCCTGCAGGATCTAAACCTCAGGTTCAGTTTTAGCTTCCTCCACACATAGCCATGGGACCCATGCTGCCCACCAGCTCCCCAGGGAGGGACTCTACTAGATGCGCAGAGGTCACAAGATGGCCCGTAAGACCCCATCCTGCTTCAGAATAGTCACCTTGTCCCAATTGTCTGTGAGTTTATTAAATATCTGATTATTTTGGATGCCCATTAAGAACTCTTAACAACCAAATACCTACAGTGTCACAGTCCTTCAGTTTAACTCTGAAATCCAAAAGACTAGAGAAAAACAAAAATCTAAAAAGCTATGAAAGTTTTTTGGGACCTGAACTTGTTCAGTGCCAAAACGTGCCCTGAAGCGATGTGTGACCATCAGTGGGTTTTCTTTACCCCATATGGCATAAATACGTACACATGACACTCTGGAAACAGGGATGTGTTCATTATGGGGTGGCCAGGGTCCTGCTGGGACCTTCATAACCACCAGGTGTGCACGACACTTTACCTTTCTAGGTCACATGTCTCTAGCAGGTCCCCAGAATTTCAAGGAAGGGATGTAGGCTGGTTGTTTTGGTTCTGAATGGAATTTTTTTCTTTTTTTGTTAAATATAGAGCCCATTCTATTTAGTAGGGAGCATGTAAAACAAGCATCATGGAAACTATAAAGAGCTCCCCAAATCCTACGACTTTGCCTCTTCTGACTTAAGAAGAGTCTCCCTCCTGGCAGCTGCCACATCTCTTTCATTGCCCCAGGCAGCTCAAGCACAGTGACACGTCAGAGGGCCCTGTAGGAACACATTCCTTGCCACTGTACCATGGTGCTTGTGTCAGTGTGGGATTTACCTGTGTCTCCAACATGACAACCCACAGGTTTAATTGATGGCTCCAGATACCACAGGTGGCAGCAGCATTGTAGACCACAGGCTGTGCATCATGTTTAAAGACCTGGAGAGCATGACTATAGTCACGTGTGCACATATTTGGTATCCAATAAATATTTGTTCACTACCCCATGTTGGGGAGATTTTCAGTGATAGTGGGGAGGAGGTCTCCTGTGTGAGATTAGTGATGTTATTGCTTGTGTTGTCCTTTCTTTCATGAATATCATGTGACCTCATGGGTCCTCCAGAGAGTTGGCTGTGACAATATCCTTGGATCTGATGCTGCTGAGGACTCCTGCGGCGTATGCAAGGGAAATAATTCAGATTGTACGACTCACAGGGGTGTCTACAGCAAGCACCACCACACCAACCGTAAGTATTTCAGAGCCGTCTGCAGGGTTCAGGCTAGGATGGTTTGATCTGCAGCTTTTCTGTGGGAGGAGCTGGAAGAGAGTATAAACATCAGCTACTCAGACAGTGCAGACACTCCCTGTCCCTTTCCTTCTGCAGGAGTCCCTCACTTCTCTAGCCTTTGCTTTGGACAGGAAGAGGTTGCTAGCTTACTGGAGAGAAGAAATCATCAGAGCTCTGCCCCAGTTGAACAAAAATAAGTCATATTTAATTGAACATAACTGATTTCCCAGACCCATCTACCACCTCTTCCAAACATGGCTTCCCAAGCTTTGGTGATGGAGAAGCCCAGTTAAATGAAATCCCGTATTTCCCCCGTTTCTTTTATCCAGAGTATTATCACGTGGCCACCATTCCTTCTGGAGCCCGCAGTGTTCGCATCCATGAGATGAACGTATCTACTTCTTACATTTCGGTGCGCAATGCCTTCAGAAGGTACTACCTGAATGGACACTGGACTGTGGACTGGCCAGGATGGTACAAGTTTTCAGGCACTGCCTTTGAATACAGACGGTCCTATAAGGAGCCCGAGAGCTTAACCTCTGCCGGACCAACCAACGAAACACTCATTGTGGAGGTAGAGGCCAGCTTCTTGCTTGGGCGGTCTTTGGCAATTTTGTGGTTTCATGCCTCTTGGACTAACTGCAAGCATGCAAAGATGTGTAGAGAATCACAACAACAAGAATAGCCCATCTGTAGGCTGAAGGGGGCGGTAGGCTAGTTTCTATCATCTTGTTTCTCTTGGTGTGTGGTTGAGTTGACGGACTTACCTGCGTCCCCACCTTGGGTCTTCACCGGTCGATGTCCACTGTGCTCCTCTCCTGCAAGTTCAGTGGCTGTAAGAGGCCATCTTGGGGGCCTTGTCTGTGTCGGTGTTCTGGGAGGCACCAGCATTGTCCTGCCGTGTCCCATAGCAACAGGTCCAGAGTGGGCACCCAGAAGCAACACCTGTGCTGTATGATGACCTGTCTGTGTCACGGCCTTGGCCCCTTTCTGGTCACAGCCATGCAGGCCCTTCTGCCCGGTGCCCTATGGGTAGGTCATGTTCTGGCCCAAGCACTCATGGTCTCCGCATAGGAACACACAGGCTCCCAGAATGCATTTGGGCTTCTTACCTGGTTTACCCCCAAGAGCAGGGCAGGCTACCATGGCAGTTTGAGGATGTGCTAAACCCTTGCCTTTTCCTATTTCTGTGCACAATTCAAAAATATTGTTAGTTCAAAAGTTGCCCCACCAAACTATACCTTGCTGTGGAGGTGACAGCACCCAGGAGCCCCGATCCCTGTCTGGGATGTGTGGCCCGCCCCATCCTCTGATCTGCTGGGAGATGCCTCTCCTGGTGCTCAGGCAGAGCCACACCTCCACAGGTCCACCCCCGTCCATCCCTCCTGACCTTGAGCTGTTCCTGCCACCCCACCATACACTTACTCATCATAAATTCCTTTCTTCCTTACATCTTTCCCACTTTCTGAACCCCTTAGCTTGAATAATCACAGGGAAGAAGAGATTGGTGAAGATTGAAAATGAGTGGAGCTTTTGAGGAAGCTGCTTCCAGTGAAAGAGGGGTCTACAGGCCATCTCATTGGCCAGATGTTCCTGTCCTACAACATCTGCCTCAGCTGAGACCTGAACTGTGTGGTCCAGAAGGCAAGATGTTGCCAGGGTGGGAAGTCAGGGGCAAGGGTGTTCATCCGGGCAACATTGTGTCAAGGACAGCAGAGGTGTGGGATTTGCATCAAGAGGTTATTAGTAAGGTTTCCAGAACAGGGTGTGCTCCCACTGAGATCCAAGGATCTAGTGTATTTTGGGAGTAACTGGTCCGTAAAGCTTGGTTTCAAATGAGGAAGTGTAGGGTCCCGTTCAAGTTCCATGCACTGAGGCCCCACTCACAGGGACCTCGGGCTGAGTGACCCTTACTAACCCCATGTCTTTCCCCTAGATTAGAGGGTCCACCCCAGGATGTAAATACCCCATACCTGAGCACAGTAGGGAGAGCGTGACTTTGGGAATGAGCATGCATGATGTCCCCTTAGGTCCTCTGAGTATTTAGAACTTGTGAAGAAGTGAGGTGCTGCTCCTTAGATGTCACTTTCTGACTCACTTGAATGTGAGCACGTACTGAGGTCTCACAGAAACACCTAGGGAGGCCCCTCCCACCTTTGCATGGTTGCATAGGCATTGCAGATTTATGAGGAAGCACTTCATGTGAGTCCAGACATCTTCCTGGATGCATTTGAGTACAGATGGGACTATTGTCCCTGCACAGAAAGTTGGTGTGTTTTGGAGGATGGAGTTTTATCACCCACACCAGCTGCTTCTGATCCTGTTGATGCTTTAAGTAGCTCAATGAAACTACTTTAACTACTGTGTGATTGTGGATTCCACTTTCATTTGCTTTTTCCTTCTTTTTTTTTTTTTTTGCAGCTGCTGTTCCAGGGCAAGAACCCAGGTGTGGTCTGGGAATTCTCACTGCTGAGGTCCGGTGCTGAGAAGAAGCCCGCAGTGCAGCCTAGGTACACGTGGGCCATTGTGCGCTCCGAGTGCTCCGTCTCCTGTGGAGGGGGTAGGTGCCCGTTCCTTTGTGGGGATCCTGGGTTGAACTGCAAGGGGTTTGTTGGGGCTAAAGGAGCCTCCCAGGGCTCTCCATGAGGGTAGCTGTGACATTCCTGAGGGGCTACGTGGGTACAGTGTCTCTGAGTGACTCTAGGGAACCCCAGCTACCCTCTCCATGTTGTCTGTCAATGCGGCCTTGAAAGAGTCAAGTCACCTGGTGTGCCGTGTCCACTGCCATCTCCTTTAAGATTATCTTAAGGATGGTCTTGTGACTTGGGATCACTCAAATGTAATTCGCCATCATTACCGGAAACTTTGGTGATGAGAAATAGAATTGTGCATGCATAGTGCAGTGATACGGAGTAGGATTTTTATGTCTAACTAATCTTGTTCAGGAAAGAGGAAAGAAATTTACCTTTCAGTTATATACTTAAATTAACCCAGAAAATATTAATTTTATAAAAGTCTCAGTGAGAATGGGGAGGAAGAATTTGTCAAAAAGAGTTGGCTTTGCCAACTTAATCTCATAAATGCTATGAGCCTGTGTCTTATTTAATAAAGGTAGTTCCACTAAAACAATCTCAGCTAGAGCCATTAGGTTCTGTCTGATAAAGAGTAGTGACTGAATACTTGCAATTTTAGGAAAAAAGTAAAGTACATCTGATAAAGCAAACAAGTTTCCAAGAGGACAAGCACATGTCAGCTAATACATTCCTAGCGGACATTCACTAGATACACTAGATGTCCACTGATAATTAAGACTTTAGCTTGTACTGTGTTTAAGTAAAAGAGTACACAATGACAAACTTGCATAATCTAAGAACTCCTACATGGAAAAATATGAAACAAAGTGAGTCTACATAGTCTTAATAGCTGACATAAGTGAATGAAGAAAACAAAGGAATATTGAAAGGTTAATAAAAAACATAATGATCTAAAGTGTCAAGAACACTGGACGTACCTTAGTCCTTGCCATTATACGTAGAACAGGCAATATTTAAATCTTGGGCACCCATGAAACTACTGATTCAGAAATCAAAAGCTTTCTATGGAGAAATATGGCTGCTTGTGTACAGAGGAGGGCAAGCAGCCCTCCTGGCCACGAGAGAATTAGTGGGACTGCCTACACAGCAGGCTGTCCAGAGAAGTCCTCCTTTCTCTCCTTCAGAAAAAAGTTGGGCAAAACTATATGGCCCAGGCTTCTCTGAGCAACATGCGAAAGTCAACTTTTAATCATTATTTTCTCCCTTTCGCTTCTGATCTTACAGCCATAGCCACACTTTGGTTTTCTCTCTCCCTACTGAAGGCCATCTAATAAATAGTGTTTGACTGGAATAAAAATTGAATAGTGAGGCTTTACATTTACGTGAAGACATCTCGGGTTTTAGAACTCTGTTGTTGCACGTTTTCATGTGTGAATCCCATGGGAGCTTCCCCGGGGAGTGGCCGGGAGACAGCTGTCTTCACCTTACCTATTTCCCTGGTATTTCTAGTGCTTGTAGCCCACCTCCTTACCCTGAGGGAATAATACTCCCATGGAGGGTTCCTGTAGGAAATCAATGTAAAGTCCACTTCCCAGTCACTTTCCTTAAAAGGTTCATTATAGTCCGTGAATGTGAAGTTTGTTTTCAATTTTGATGGAAAATCAGGGTTTCTCAGTTCAGAAGGAAGTGGAGGGCAGGAGGTCAGTGCCGTCCTCCTCCTGGGAGCTATAGCTCCTTATAGAACCCTCTTGGTGGAAACTCAGCCCCTCTGCACCTCTCTAGCGACCCCTCCCTGGCTGTGTGCCTGCTCCGCAAGGGACACGTTCCCCAGTGGTAGCCCACAGAGCCCCTTACACAGGCCCCTGCCTCTGTGTGCTGTGGGCATAAAATCTCAGTTTCACTCTTCTTCTCCCTCTTGCCTCCCTCCATGTCTTCCAGAACTGTCTTACTTTCTACATGATCAGGTAAAAGAAAGCCTTCCTTGCCATTTACGGAGCACCTACTCTGTACCAGCACACGCTATCATGTCTCAGCAGGGTTCCCGTAGAAAGTAATTGGCCAAACAGTGCTCAAGTCTGGCTTCAGCAGAATATCGGGACCTGCCTTTCATGCCTGTGAAGTGCAGTAGTTTTGTGCTGATCAGTGCCAGGGAGCCACTGTCACCATCTCAGAAGTCTCGGGATTACTATCCCCTGTTCAAGTTCTACAGAAATCAGAGGTCTGGAGAGTCTCCCAAGATACCCCAGCGGGTACCTGGAGCAGCCGACCCGCTATCTCCTGGGCACGTGTTCATCCAACCTTGCGCACACCCAACGTGGGTGTCATACACATTCCACAGCAACCACAGTGAGGGGTGTGGGGCCAGGAAAGTGTCCCGTGGAGTGCAGCTCACTGCTTCCTTTCCTAGTGTTGCACTTGTGCAGCGATGGTCCCTTGAGGGGAATACCAAAGTGTTAGTAGAGAGGGGGGAGGCCACCTGCCCTGGGGGCAGTGCCTGCTCCGTGACCGTGAAAGATTAAGGCAATCACGTTCGGGTCTACTGTTCAGTTTTTCTTTGATCTGTGTTGGTGGACTTGTCCGATTTCCTCCCACAGCCTTAAATCACATAGCTCTTCACTGAGTGTTCATTAAAATGATTATTTTGAGAGAGACACTTATTTCCCCAGACATCACGTTATTATAAGCGGTTACTTTGACTGAATAGTTTATTAGAATTTACTGTCTCTGCTTTCTGAACGTTGAGAATTTCAGGATTTGGTAATAGCGAATGACATGTCTTTTACAACGAAATCTTTAGTTATTTTAAGTCAGCAAAATTCTTCATCAGTTTTCTGGCTGGGGCCTTCTGAGTTCTACGAGGTTATTTAAACCCTGTGTTATCCGAAAGGAGAGTATTTAGCTGTGTGAATGAGAAACCTCAGAGGGTGAAAATCGAAAACCCGCATCATTCTTGCCTTTTCCACTGGATGAGAGAAGCACCACCCAGCAGATGGATGGGAACGGCGTGTGATCACCGTCTCCTTTCTCGGTGGCTCAGTGTACATCATTCCCCTTATGTCTGCAGATTTTATCCTTTTAAGGTTTCGACTTGCACAGACTTCCGGTGTGCTGGGCTTGGAACGCAAAGCGGTGCACATCTAGGCCGCTTCCATCATTTAGCTATTGATTCCACCTTCTTTTCTGGCAACCTTGTTTTTCCCTCTTCATTTCTTTTCACTTTTTTTTATATGATCCCAGTTTTAGTTCGAGATCCCTGCTTGTCAGAGCCCAGGCTGGACTCTCCGTGGTTCTCAGGCGTCGCGTGGGCCCATGGACTGGAATGGGCCAGGAGCCCAGGGCACTGTTGGGAAGCAGCTTAGCCAGCTGTGTCTGTGGCTGGGCTGGGATTTTGGTCAGGGTGATGACTTTACTGGGCCCTTGTTCTCCTTGAAAAGGCTCCATCTTTTCTCAAAATTACGTAGCTGCAACTTCCCAAATCAGCACCTGCGATTCAGTTGGTCCTGTGTATTTGGAAAGCTGATCAGAAGCCTCTGTCTCAAGGGTAAAATGAAGCACCGACCACAGCTGGGTTTAAGGTGCGCTTTTCCACCCTCCCACATGTTGTCCAATTTCTGGGCTGAGGCTTTTCTTCCGAATAAAGATATTCTTCTGTTTTAAGATACAGGTTTCTCAGGCAAATCCTAAAACTGGCTTAAAACTGGCTAAACTAACCCCTCTCGTTATAATTTTTCCATAGTAGTCTCTTCACCATCTATAAATATTCCTGGGCTTAAATTTTCATTTAGGAATTAAATTTGAAAACAGGAATAAACTCATTAGCGTCTCTCCCCACCCACGTCTTGTTAGTATCAGTTCAGTCATTCATTCTCTTACTTAGACAGTGATTGCTCAGACTTCTTAACCCATCTGGGGAGAGGCAGGAGGCCTGGGCTGAGCTCCTTCTACCTTCAAAGTGGGCAGCGTGGGGTGGCAGAGTTGCTGCTTTGCCTGAGCGCTGTTTCCTGATTTCTTAGTGGGCATCTATGCATCTCACTAAGGCATCCAGTGCCTCCTCCGGCAGGTCTTTCTTCCACGTGTGTGGCATTTGGCTGTCTTCTGAGTTTATGAAGGAAAGAAACAATATACATCAGCCCTGTCATGGAGCACACAGTCTGGAGGGGACTCTTCCAGGAGTGTGTGTGAAAGTGCAAGGTTGTGAGCCGGGTTGTGTGCAAGGATCCAGGGGCAGTCAGACTGCCCAGCCCATGGCGCAGGACACATCACAGTTCGTCATGGGCATCTCAGGTATGGTCTGTGTCCCATCAGAGCAGCTGCACCAAGATGCCTCTTCCAGAGTGGCGGTGCCTTTGGTCCCTGCCACTCCACTAATGAGCGCAGACCTCCAGTGTTTTGCACAGGTGCTGCTTCCAGTCAGGTCGTTCCCATCTTCGCTCAGTATTCTAGAATGTTCTGAAGCTTGGAGTCAGAGTGCCTCTCCCAGTCTTAGATGGACCTAGAGAGTGAAATCACACAGATTAGCCTGGTTCTTTCCTCCTTGCCTTGGCTCCCTTTGACCTGGTCAACTGCAAATGCCTTCTGTGGCCTTCTCCAACTTCCTCATGACATATAAATTACATCTCCATCTCCAATCCTATTTCCTTAAAACAAAAAAGCAGAGGAGAAGAAAAAGTTTTGTCCGTGAACACTTTTCCCAGGGGCCTGTGCTGCATGACGTCCGTCCCATCCACATGTCCACTCCCAGAGTCCAGGGGACCACCAGGAAGCCCACCTGTTTGTAGGAGCAGGAACCCTTCCGGTTAAGTACCCATCCTGCCCCTCCCTCGGCCCCACACTAGTCAGAACCAGCTCTCTGGACCTGCTGAGGGGTGTCCCTGTGCTGTACACTCTGCACAGTGCCGACCTCAACAGTGGGTCACAGGGCCTGCAGCAAGGTGCACATCCGCCATCGTTTGAATGTGGGCTGCTCCCCAGACTCACAGGAGCTGAATCCTCCAACCTTATGGTAAGAGTAGAAGAAGGGTCGACG